AGCTTACAATCCGATATGAAGGAACGCGAATGCTATAGATAAGGAAAAATAAGTAATATAATATTTACATGCGGTTAAGTTTTACGCATAAATGATCAATCTTGAAATCATGTAAGCAAATATGCATTAATTTTCCGTTGCACCAGAGACATCTGGGGCCATACTTTCAAAATTCGCTAAGTGAACGTAAGTACTTACGCACTATTTTCTTGACTATGATTGGTGGATTTTGCTTGAAAGGCTGTCAATCATTGGCTGATGAACTTACGATCTCTTAACTTTTTTTGAAAGTATGTGCCCAGGCACGGAACTGAGAAGCAACAGTCTGAGCCATCAACCTCTGCATGGTAGCTTCCAATGGCCTGAAGTTTAACCCAAAACCGATCAGGAATGCGATTCCGCAAAAATATTCTGAAAATTCAGTGGACCAAAAATGGAGGAGCTTTTCAAAGAAAAGCTCGCTCTCAAATACTGGTCTCGTTTGCAGCAGACCGAGTTATTTTTTCTCGATATTTCAATTGTTTTCACATCTCTTTCGATACTATTTGTGGTGAAAATTCTTTATGTTTTGATCAAAACAAGGGAAGCCATATTTTTTAGGGTTCGGCGTTTTTTCGTGAATGTATTAGACAATAAAGAAAAAGCATGTGACACTGGAAATAATATGTTAGTATGAGTGAACAAAGAGAATATTTAACTAAAATGAGCACGTATCCAATAGCTGACATGGGTAGAAAATTATCTCATATTTTAATATTTTTCTAATTTTTCGATCACAATCGATCACTTGAATCTCAGTTATAGAATGAAAATAATATTTTACTCTCAATGACCTTCTCTTGCATTCGAGATTATTTATGGTCTCATGCAGTTTCTTTTAATTCCACAGCGCGTACATTTTTTTGCAATTTCTGACATATTTATTATTTATTTTATATTATTAGTTTGCTTTAATTGCAAAATGGCCAAGAATTTAAAAGTAGAGGGAATGCCGTGTACACAAGTGTCTACCTTCACTCAAAAATATTTACTGAATTTACCTGTAATCCTTTATTATTAAACTTTTGATAAATTTATAAAAGCGGGTTTACAACTAATGGTAAAAAATAATTTTGAAAAAATAATAATTTTCAACACCCGTAATCCAAGTTTAGCTTTCATCCAAATTATAGTGACCAAAAATTATTATTTAATTCATTGCCGAGTTTAAACATTGCGTGTGATCATTTATTTATTGCGTTCTATTTTTTGTAATTGAATTCAAAAGCAACTCTAGATAATCAATTTTACACAGGTATTGCGATTGTCTTTGAAATCGGCCAAATTGTTGTAAAGCTTATTAGGTTTCGCGAGTTCCGAAGATACACAAATATCCTCTGTCATTTTCAAATAAGGAACATGATTTGATAGATAACAATTTTCGTTATCTGTAACGCTTAATGTATCAAGATATCTTAAAATAATTTATCTGTTAAATATTCCTGCGTAAATTTTTTTCGAAATTATAATACAAACTGAATCCGTCCGCCACGTAAGTACTATTAAGTACTTAAGAAAATATTTATTATTTTATTAAGTACTTAATAGTCTTATTGTTCTTTAATTAGGTACTTAATAAAACAACACTCTGCATGACTGAGCTTTATAGATTTTGACATGTTAAATTGAGTTACTGATATATGCACGCAGAAAAATAAATATTTCACATGGTATAAATAATGACACTCATTGTTACCCACAGCACGATTAAAAACCGGACGTAGCGCCGCCACTCCCCTTTTATCAGGCAAACTAGCTAGCAAACTAGGGTGGCCCAGTGGTTAAAGTTCAGAGTACCAAGATTGACGCACTAGCGAGGCACGGGTTCGATAGCAGCTCTGTGCGCCAGTTTCTGGTCAGAATCGGCGAGGAGGCCGGGCGGTTAAGCATAGCAGAATTGTAGCAGTGCGTTGCGAGTTCGAGACCTCAAAATGCTGTGAATGTTCTCGATGTTAAGAATCGGCGACTGGCCTACGGCCTAATAAACGCTGAAACCGCTATTATTATTATTATTAAGATGACCCACACGAGAACGAAAAGTACGCCGCCATATGTGCGTAACGGCATTGCGGTCTATTCACTGGTGAGAGGAGAGTGTGGCTGCACTGAGCGCTGCTAGACAAAATTTTAAGTAGCAAAAAATGTTTTTAATTTTATTTGTTAATCTACTTATTAAGAATGTGAACAGTTACATTTTTTAATTAAATTCATTGAAAATTAAATGGATCGTTTACGGATTGATTAAGAGAAAACTTGAACGTAAATTTCAATTTTCAGTCAGTATCCTCTTTAATTTGCGATGTTGTGAGTTTCGAGTAAAGTGCGCGTCACTTTCAAAGTCAAACTGAATACTGAAGCGGATATACGTAATTTGCTCCGACTTTGCTGGAACTATACTCAAAGAAATTAGGAAACTTTTCTTAACAGCGATGCAAGTTTTCTTTGATGTAGGTCATCTTGACGCAGTTTGTTCCGGCGAAAAGATGTATCAATGCCAAAATCTAGGCAATGCTTTTAATTTCACCAATCTAGGTGCTGAAAAGTTCAAAATTTGAAGCAAATGAAGCAAATTAAATAAGGAAACAGGCTCAGTGAAGGGAGGTGTGTTGCATCTGAAGGCAAACAGGGTCAGTGAAGGGAGGTGTGTTGCATCTGAAGGCAAACAGGCTCAGTGAAGGGAGGTGTGTTGCATCTGAAGGCAAACAGGCTCAGTGAAGGGAGGTGTTTTGCATCTGAGGGCAAACAGGCTCAGTGAAGGGAGGTGCGTTGCATCTAAAGGCAAACAGGCTCAGTGAAGGGAGGTGTGTTGCATCTGAAGGAAAACAGGCTCAGTGAAGAGAGGTGTTTTGCATCTGAGGGCAAACAGGCCCAGTGCAGGGAGGTGCGTTGCATCTGAGGGCAACCAGGCTCTGTGAAGGGAGGTGTGTTGCATGTGAGAATTAACAGGCTCTGTGAAGGGTGGTACGTTACGTACAGAGGGAGGCGCCGGTTGTTAATTGGATTGATGATCTTATGAGCGAAGAGGCCGATACTTCGTCATCAAAAACGGGCAGTAAACTTTACGATGGCATGCCTGTTGAAGAGTTAGAGGGCCAATCCAATAAAAGAACTTACATTGATCCAATAAAAGATTGTATTGATCCAATAAAAGAACTTACAAGCGATCGGTATAAGCTCTTGATGCGACAGGCATTTCTTTCGTGAATTCGAATTAAAAAAATGTGCATCGCAGTATTCGACGAGGATTTCAATATTCATTTTCGTGTTTTACGTTTTTTGATGAATATTAAGTTTTTGCGGGAGACACATTAAATTCAGCAGCATGCATTTAAATCAACCTACTCCATAAGTTACTGGAAAATAATTGAATAAAAGAACTCGTGCCGAGGTTAAGTACATTTTTTCACCATAATATGCCATCACTATAATGACACAATATTTCGACAGCTGTAAAAACGTACAACAAAGTAATTTATACCAATTTGAAAACCTGAAGCAGACCTTTTGTGAGTAACTTTTTGATGACTGCTGGACTGCTAGTCTCTCTGCCAAAAATAAGCGATATGAAGCTCGATGGAGACATGTCTGATTCAGTTACATATATATAAAAAATTACATGTCTATTTCTGGGCTTGCCGTAGAAATGTATGATATTTAATTAATGGGTAAAGCTAGCTTTAGATTAAAATACCATGATCTTGAACCGTTCGAAGTTTTGTGGGCCGATAAACGGCCCTCCTATTAAAAAGAAGAAAATTAAAATTTTTCTTAAAAAATACAAAATTAGATGGTTTACAACACGATAAGTTTTATACTTGAAAAAGTTGGTTGTAACTTACGAGTGACCAACGCGAGCGAATTAAATAATTCGCTGGTCACTTGCGGCGTACCACAGGGATCATATCTCCACCCGCTCCTCTTTACCTAATTAACTGTGAATAGCTGCTATAAATTCTTTAAATTGCTTACATATCACAACTACTTACGCTATTTTTAGCGTAAAGTTAAAGTTATCCTTCATTAAAACGCAAATGCTCCCAGGCAGTGCTGAATTTCGAAATGAGCAGGGCTAATCTGTGGCTCCGTTCGTCTCTCGGACATGGCAAAAAAATTGAGGTAAAATATGGTAAAATATAAAAATAATTTTGTCAAACTTCATTGTTTTAAACGCTACTTCTATATCCACTCTAGGAGACTTTCTTAGCTTTGAATTCATCCACACGATTGAAATCTTCACCTTTTACGTTAATTTTTGAGAATCCGAAAGTGCAATGTCCAATCCGTATGATGAACGATTGCTGCCTTACTTGAAACGCTAAAAACTTTAATCTTTATCGAAATCTAGAGTACATTTACACATTTTGAAAGGCAACAAGGGGTCGGATTGCGATTATAAATGATAAAAACCGTATTACTATTTCAGACAAATTGCGCCATACATCGTTCCAAATTCAACATCATGGAATAAGTATGGCAACATTTACGACACTAGTCCTCCAATCAGAAGTAGGCTCAACGATATAGTTCTTTCCAAAACTAGGTGGCAGGCGAACGTTTGCTTTGCCTAATCACTACGCAGCTCTATGGGGCACAATTTTTGGCATGCGAGGTCTATAGTGGCGAATTCTATTAAGCTGGCCACGATTTGAGCTTTAGTTGACATTTACGTGAAGTGATGTTTATATAACGTCAGAACTGTGTAACGTGGAGGCGGTGGAGCAGTAGTTAGATTCAATCTCAAATCATTTTAGATACGAAGTCCCCTGGGCCATAATCTATAACGCCATAACGGTAATTTTGCAAGGCAAAGGCATTGAGGATGTAGTAGTTCAAGCATTAATATAACGTTCTCGACTGCTGTTGTAACGGTCCTCCATGAACTAGTGATAGCTCAATACTCGTCGAAGTCCAGTGTGGGGGACATGATTTGCTGTCGATCGTAATAGAATCTTCGTAGGTTTTTTAATTACTAAAATGATCGCGATAAATGTTTTCCCTAGGTCTAAACAATTTTTCTATTGTACCTACTCCATAGTCCTTAAGTTGCGACAGTATCAGGCACAATTTGGACTTCGTGTGGGATGTTAGTCATATTTTTGCTATTGTTGACATGGGGAAAATTGGCGACGGCTGTTGTGCCTCAACCAACACCAGGTGAGATTTTCTTTACTGTAGTCGAACGAATAATGACCTGCAACATCAAAATTATATAGTTCCGCCCGTACTGCACGCATTAGTTTTGTTCTAGAATTTCCGACTTACGAGAACTTAGGCCCAAGTGTAAAATGACGTTCGTCCGGTTCGTGTGAGGGATCTCCAATTTTTAATCCCACTTACGCTAAACCCGCCTGTAGTAGTGAAGGCTGCCGGAAAATTCAGAAGTGTACCACATTTCTCTGCAAGTTCTTTATTAATTTGGCAGTGAGAGCTCTGGGGCAACAAAAGGGGTGCGGAAGCGGCCAATTCGAGTGCACCGAAGGAGGGCATGAACACCCGTGCATTCCTGAGTTATGGCTTTGTAATGAGATTGACGACTGCCTGGACGGAGCTGATGAGGATCCGCAACTGTGCTCCAATTATCACGTGAGTTTTATGTGATGAATCCTGGTAATGATCAGAAATGAGTACTATACCGGTTCAATCTTGTCTTGCCGTTAAGTTCATGGATCCCTGAAGAGCAATATATATATCTTCAATGTCATACATGTGGAAGACTTCGATTACTAGCTTTTTTCGTGTCGCTGGGCATGACTGGCACTTTGTTCAACAGGAACTGAGGCAGTGCACCGAAGAAGAGTTCGAATGTCCTTCAAATAAGCAGTGTATTTCGAAGAACTGGTTGTGCGATGGTGAAAATGATTGTAAGGACAATGCTGACGAAAAAGACTGCCCTCTAAAGGTAATTCATAGCGCGTTGAAGATGGAATACCTAGTTGGCTGGACCTTGATAGAACCTCAAAATTCGCAATCTAACCTTGTATTATATTACTTTTATAACATTGCATTGTTATTACCTGGCTGTCGAACTCGGATCTTGGAATCGAAGCTCGAGCTCACTCAGCTCAGCATATGGAAGTTCAGTCTTTGATTCACGATTAGTTGCGTATAAAAATCCGTTCATATTTTCGATTAGTTCCTCATAATTTACAGTAACGGTAATCCATATTCTGATAAAGCCCCAGAAAAGGTCCTAGTCTTGCCTTCTGAGAAAGTTCACTTAAGCGGTACGTTACCACGAGTACCTGTATATTCTTGCAAATTGTGTGACTGGGAAAGAATCCAGTGAACTGCACTTGGACATTACTTGGCTGCATCAGTAACGCCTGAACGGGTCAGTATAAACGGATAGCTAATGTGAAGGTCGCCTACTTCATGTCTATCTAGATTGACGAATGAAATCATAAGTCAAGGCCAGTTCATTGTTTGTCCTTGTAGTATTAGTCGACGTTAGTTGCTGCGTTAGCCCCAGTGAGAGCGGTTTAATATATTCAACCCATATAAAATTTTGAAAAAATACTAGAGGAGAAATATTGACATTACCTTGCCATGAGTTGAAGACTTGCGCGATTGATAAATATCAATGTTATGGTATGATTAACTATTAACGGAATTATTTCCTCAACTTTTTATGCCCTGAAGATTTTTATGATGACTGTAGATTACTCATAAATTATTGCACTAGTTTGCATTACATCCGTCCTCAGACCTGCAAACCTGGCGAGTTCGAATGCGACAACAAACACTGCGTGCTGCTGGTCTTCCTGTGTAACGAACACGACGATTGCGGGGACGGCTCAGACGAACGCCACTGCGGTGGGTACCTATCTTTTTACCGAAGCGGAGTGGATTTGTTAATAACTAGGATTCAATGGCCAATTGAATAAGATAATTAGTGATGCTCATTCAATCGTTAGTTTGTAGTCATGAAATTGTTTTAAATTTATTGAACTTACGGATATAAAAGTTCTTGGATCATCGGTATAATAATCAAAGATATTACGAAGCGAGTTAGAGGGAAACAAAACAACTACAAGTTTGGTTTCTGTGCTGGGAATAGTTTACGGCGAAAGTTTTGATGTCTAGTCAAACGTTAGGACCTTATTTTAACGTTTGTGGGCAGAATGTTTCTCAAGTAAAGCCTTTAATTGCTCGAACAACATGGGCTGCCCTCCAAGTGATCGTGTCTGTGACGGCAAAAGCGACTGCAAAGACAACAGCGATGAAGGAGGCCGATGCAGTGAGTAACCCAAATGTCAAGACAAAAGACTAAATATATGCGGCCTCGTTAAATACAGGTATACCATATTCCTGATTAGGATTAAAGGTTATTACGAAAGGAGCAGTCGATCACTATCGAAAGGTCTGAGCGCAAACTGAAAGTGGAATGGAAACTTTTAGTAAGCTGTAGATGTGGTCTTAGTTTCCTTCGTGGAAATTCAACATTATTTGAAAGACGTGTGAGGGAACCTGCTCTATATCTAATTTCTTGAGTAACTAGTGTCGCTCGTTCTGCATCATCAGCGACGATCAAGTTCATCAACGAGACTTCAACTTGTCTTTTGTTAGCTCGAAATTTCGCACTAACAATTTTCGAACTGATTATTTCTAGGCCATCATATCTATCTACCAACATGATTTCTTGGCGAATTATTGTATTTGCTAACGTTTATGCACACTTTCCATGGCTAGGGACGTTAATTCAGTTTTATATACGGGATATAAATTGCTGTAATATCATCACGCCTGTACTATCATGCGTGTTGAGAATCGGTGCAATATTTTGTCCATTTCATACCAGGCGATGAGGTGTGCGGCTTGAATTGCGGCAGCAACGGCAAATGTTTTAAAACTCCTAATGGCCCAAGATGCGACTGTCAGCAGGGCTTCCGTGAGAACCGAGGAGTATGTAAAGGTGAGATCCAGTTGATTATTACATTACTTATAGGTATGCAAAATAGAGTAGCTATAGCGTCGCTAATAAAGGAGCAGATGAACGAATAAGTAGTGTCAACTGTTAGATTGAAAGGAAATAAGTTAATCTGAAGTAGTTAACAATAACCAACGTTTCTCGCGTTTAAAATGGACGCTATCTGCAAATTTATAGAGTATACAGTACGTAATGCCACTTCTCTACAATTGTGTTAGGTAGTTTGATTATGTGGGAAATGACATTTCTCAGAGAATTGAGATTATTTTGATATCCTTGAGCCCAGATATCGACGAGTGCGCCGACATGTTCACCTGTGACCACACGTGCAGCAATACACAAGGAAATTATACCTGCTCCTGCAAGTCTGGCTACTACTTGCATGGGAAAGAAACCTGTCGTGCGGCCGGTGAGCAAATATTATTGCTTTTTATAAAGAGCAAACGTCGTTGCAATTTCATATAGAGCCAATATTTTCCGATGAAATTCAGGTAAAACTAGTGAGAAAGTGCTTGAATATTGGTCCGCGAACCCGTTTATTGTGAAAATTTAGCTGGAGTTTTATAATTATGAGGAACCATTGTATAAATTAATTCCAGATCAATCTGATTATCACACCAACACTCGTATATTCCCTGACGAAATTCTTCAACAAATAAAGCATTTGACGTTGGTCCCGCGAATAGCAGCACAATAACCATAGTCTCCACTTGATTAGTAACATTCTAGCGTATTCCGTTGCAGGACAGGCCTCGGCAATGCTGCTGTACACGTTCAAGACGAGTGTACAAGGCATCTATTTAGATACGAAAACGCAGTTTTCTGTCCACTCGGGTGACGTCATGGTCAGTATTCAAATGCCGTTTATATATATAATTAGAAATTCCTCGAGGCTTCCTAATGAATTCAGATGGTTTTTATGCTGCTTAGTCTTTGCTTCAAAAACTTCTCGGATATGCTCCCGGCAAATTGAAATAGTCAGAGTGAAAATTAACCTTCTAACATGATGCGTGTCTGATGCTCTGTTTTCACATTGACTTCGGCGGTTGAAAATTAATTCTTTGAACAGTCAACCTTCTGGTCTACAATTTACTTAGATGGATCGTCTCGTGCCAGAGTTACTTTTTTTATCAGGAACTGTTAACAAACGCCAAATGTTCTACATAGCACATTTCTCAGACTGTTGCCGTTGCTTACGATCCTGTTGACTCCAAAGTCTACTGGAGCGACCATATGGGCAACATATACAGGAAATCATTGGCCAGAAATGATCTGGAACTATTCATCAACAGAGGTAATTAGTAACATAAAAGTTTATCTCGTGTTATGAAATTTCATTAATAAAATTGCGAACGCTTTGATTTTCGGTTTTTATTTCATATCGTTGACGAACTGTGGTTTTATCAGCTGTCAGTTCCTAAAATTTCGCGCTCTTGAGTTCCTGCTTCGTGTTCGCAGGTGTCGGCATAGTTTACAGCCTCGCCATCGACTGGGAAATGCGCAATTTGTACATCAGCGACAACAAGTCTAACAGCATCATCGTCTGCAACATCCGACGCGACTCGTGCGCTACGCTTGATGCCCAGCCTTCGCGGCCAACGTACCTACAAGTTGACATTGCCCAGAGGTAAAAATTTCCCACAATATTTATGCGGTTACATTGCGATCGAATTGGCCAGTAACCACGCATCCTTGTTTTAGATATGATTCACGGCTCATCGCATTGCGCAACACTCCTGCGGGATTCGAATCTAGATTTACTGCTGATGATTTGAGCCAATTTTGACGGTTCGTGCTATCTCAACGGTGCAATTTCGCTTACTGTTAATTTTCCATCTTATCAGGCAGCTTTTCTGGGTCGAGGCGGAAAAAAAGAGAATCAAGAAGTCTAATTTGGATGGCAGTGGCGCCCGCGTTCTCGTCGATGGCAACCTTGAATGGCCTAACGCACTGGCTTTTGATTCCGCATCTCGACGCCTGTACTGGATGGATGCCGCGCACAACGCTGTTGGCTGTGTCGATGTCGACCGGAATGAGCTCAGGGTCAACTATGAATTCTAGGCCAATTGTTTTACGTATTAGGACAGAATTCTAATTTTTAGATGCCTCAATACCAAATAAGAATTTATTCTAAACGTATTGTTTAACATATTTAAACAAATTTCATATATTTAGATGTCCCACAACCTTATATGAATTCATCTTAATTTAATTGTTCTACGGATTGAAACAGAACTTATTATTGTAGTTACTAGCCCCAACAGCACTTTTTTTAAAATTGTGTAGAGATCGTAATCAATATATCAGTTTGATTATTGTTTTTGATTTGTCACAGGAAGTTCCTGGTTTTCAAGTTAATCACCCGTCGTCTGCTGCTGTGTGGGAAGACTTTATTTACTGGAATGACTGGGAAGATAAATGTCTATATCAAGCGTTGAAAAAAGATGGCAGCAATAAAACTCATTTGTTGAGGCACGAGGGTAACGGAATTGTTCTGTACCACGAACAAATGAATAAAGACGTAAGGCTGCGGGAATTTCATTAGACTTGATGTTATATGCTATATAACGCCATAGTTCATCAAACTAGCAGCCCATTCGAGATGGTTGAAATAGATGTTATTGTATCAGAGCGATCATGTTTCCAAGCATTTTTATGTAGTTCTATGCGCTCGAGACTTGCCACCCCTGAAAGCAGAGTGTCTTCTAAATATCAAATACTCCCTTGAAACTGCATTTTGATCAACTAATGTCATCTGAAGAACATTGTTCGACCCTGAAAATTTAAATTGACGAATTCTCTGGCCATTAACCACTCGTGTTGAAACAAGCTTATTCTGCCTTCTGATACTAACTTCTAAATATCAAATGTGCATATTTCGTCTTGAAGGTTTCAGGTCATCAGTCGCTGAATTGTCAGTGCAGTCACATCTGTTTGCCGAGTGCCTCAAGCTACAGTTGTTCATGTCCTCATGAAATGATACTCTCATCGAACAGGAAAGACTGCCTTGGTAAGCAATATCTTTAATCCATTCACTCGTAGTCCAACTTCGATTAACTGGTGACACTACTATTTTACCCTATTTCAATTTGAAAGAAATCAAAGTTTCGCGTTCTCGTGATTTCTCCAATTTACTCTCTAAACCAAAACAAATTTAGTCTTTGGTATTTTTAACTTGTCCGTCGTAAAAATTGTAATCAGTTTGCAAATGTGTTTTGACTATCGTTCCAGATCGAACGGATCTGCCATACTTCATTCTCGGAGCGGGGAGCAGCCTTTACTCGATGGTCATTCGGAAATATCAGCAACCAGTTGTAAAGAAATTCGAAGTCCGCGAGACTCTGCGCTTTGTTTCTGACTTGGACTACGATCCTCTCGAAGGTCAGTACATAAACTGTTCATAGGCACAATAGTGAAAATAAGTGTCTATCGCCCCATTCATGCCTGGTATTTAGAATTACGCAGAGACGAAAGTTTGTGAAAGAGGTTAATTTAGAAATTGAAAATGTATTTATATGGAGAAGGCTGGCTTAGGTGCACCGAAAAATTGATGAATATTTTTAGATAATTTGATGGCTAACTTGAATAACTGGACCAAAATTTCCCCTGCGTCAGACGCGCTGTTCATAGCAGACAGAGGAAGAGGCGAGATCATCCGAGTTGACCTTGCTACTCGGAGAACAGAGATCATCGTCAAAAATATCCTCAGAGTTACCGGAGTTTCCGTTGGTAAGCACCTCTAGAATAATGCTTATGAACGACTCACGTAGCGCGCCATTTCTGAATTTGAGTAGGTAATTAAATGATCGACGCTTCTGAACTAACTTTTTGCAAGACCTATAAAAGATTTTATGGCTGAAAAAGCCATTTGTCCCGAGTGCGAAATCATTCATATATTGATGCAGCACCTATATTTTGACGTGTTCAGCTAATGGCGTAATCCTTAGCGTTCTTCTTGAAGGTTCCAATTCGTTTTAATCTCATGATAATCCTAAGCTGTCTTCCAATTAATGAATTCAAATAGTTAGATTACGATTAGGCAAGAAATAATGAAGACTTTGACGTCACTTTCTTGACTTCTAATTTGCTCATTAAAAGATATTGAATATTTGAAGTTTCAAAATATCGTAAAATACTTGAATAACAAACTAATAGCATTTGCATATAAACAATTGCGTTTTCCAGATTGGCAACGGAGAAATGTTTATTGGGTGGACTCCCAAAAAGGTTCTCTTGAGGTCGCAACGACCCGCGGGCAGTATCGTAAGCAGCTCGCCTTGGGCACCACTTCTTGTTCGGGGCTCAGCATTGCAGTTCACCCCGATAAAGGGTGAGCCGAGTACACATTGAAGAGAACTCGCTCGATTTTCCTGACAAATTTATTCCCAAACCGACTGCCTACCGTGACCAACCTATACGTCGAATGAGGTGAAATGGCATACATAAAGAATAATTTTTGCTTAGCTCCACATTGGGGCGCTGCTTTAGAAGGTAAATTGTCCAATTATCAATTCGAAAGTTTGAACTGATTCTGCAGACGAGTTCTTCTTGGCTGCGATGGTAAAATTTTGAGCTGCACTCGCAGTGGCCAACCTTGCATCAGACTTCCGGCTGGAAGAGTCGTCTCGCCGATCGGCATTACAATCGATCAGCGTCGCCAAGAAGGTCAGTTCAGGAAACAGTCGATCGCAAGCCGTACTGTAACGTGGATAAATTAAACTTTTACAGTTTGGTTAGATTTCATCCAGCTATGAATTATAAAGAGATTGACATGTACTCCCATTTCTGTCATTTTGGCTTTAATTTCTTGCGGCGGTTATTGGCTTATAAATATTCCACGAATTCGTTATCAAACTTAACAGACGAATGTTATTTTTCTGTGCAAGTACGTCGCAACGTGAGTATGAACGTTCGAATAGTATTGTTGTAATTTTTAAGGAAATAACTCGGTTGCATATTTACCAGAGCTGGTTTATTGGACGGACTCCTCTCAAGAAACTGTCAACATGATGGATCTCGATGGGTTCAGCCGCGAGAAAGTGAAATCGAGTTCCTATGGCGGAATAATTCGTAGCGACGGCAACACGTACGTCACTCCTGTTGGCGACTACAGCTTCATCACACACTACCGTAATCTGACCAGTGGAAAAGCTGATGGAACCTTGGTCTTGTCCGGTGGGTATTTCGGCTGAAACAGGAATTTATATATTGGATACATATTTATTTGAAGTTTCCACTACTTACAGGCCATGGGCCTATTTCTTCAACGCCGACACTTCTATTCTATTCTACAGTAATCACCGTTTGTTATATCCGTAAGCCGTTGCCTACGGATATAACCATTATCCGTATGTGAATTATCTTGTTTTAATCTTGTATCTTGTTTAATCTTGTATCTTGTAATTAACAATGAATTATCTCGTGGTTTCTTAACACCATTCCTTGAAATCTCGCAATATTCTCTCAGATGCATTTTTAGGTCATATTAGTATACTAACGCTCGAAGCGAGTACATCCACGAGTGACTAGATCAGTACAGAAACTTGTGCATTCCATAATAGGATAGAAGTGTCGGCACTGAAGAAATAGGCCCATGTCGATTCTTGTCCTTTCGTGACTTGATTCACAAGGGATCCGGCCATTGGAACCCGATCTTTCCACAACTGACGATTGATTGAGATAGCTGCTGGACTTGTTGCCTGGTCCGTATGGTGCTAGGCATTTCAAGACTGAAGATATTGTCCTTACTCTAATCTAGTTTCGGTTGTACACAGTTCTAGAGAATTTGAAGAGCATGCCACGTCACAAGAACCACTGGGCCATAACCGAAATAGGTTGGAAACCTTCACAGATGCTAACGAGTTTGTACCAAAAGTTCTGCGTGGAGATGACGCCACAATGCCAGCAGCTGTGTCTCGAACATGACATCGGCAAAGTAAGTCGCAGAGCATTTTCGCAAATTTTCTTGGCTTGGTTGAAAAATGATTTCAGAAGTACACTTGCTTCAAATCATTTTCTCCAGATTAGTCGTTCGCGTTCAGTACATAGCGTAACGAGTGAAAGTTGCTGGACTCGGCAGTGAGCTTTTCATTGTGCCAGCTTCGCTAGAATTTTTTTTTTCTAAATAATAATGGCAGATTTAACTTTCTATTTTGGCTTACCTTGTTATTTACTAATGGGCATTCAGACTATTTTTAATGCAGAGTAATGGTTTTTAGAATAATTTTTCTATATCTTTAGGTCTGTGCCTGTTCTTCTTCTGAGGACTTGGCGGATGATGGCTTCTCCTGTAAAGCAAAAACCTGCAAGTCTGATGAGTTCTTATGTGCAGATGGGACATGCATTCCTTTGACATTTGCGTAAGTTTCGGATTTGAACGTTCAACGAAAGTTGAATAAAGTAGTATTAGTGTGGAAACTAATGACTTGTACCTTTAGTGTGCTTGGATTTCTTGCTGCCTATAGAATAGTCCTTTCCGTCGCGCAGCGTTTTTTTTCTCTTGTAAGCAATTTTTGGTAAAAACGTTGCTTAGAATGTTTACGATCGACCAGCGAGCAGAGAGTTTCGTTAGGTTTCCTGTAGTATTATGCCCTAATTTTTACTTAATCTCGATATTTTCCACCATGGCACTATATTTACTAAGTTTTCCTTATGATGGTCAGAAATGAACGGTGCTTTTATTCGCGCGACCTAATCCTTAAATTTTATTACACGCTTCACCAATGCAACTGAATAGATATTTTAATACACCGTTGCAAGAGAAAGTTTGAAATTTGGAAGTTGCTGTCATGCATCTTCTCCAATTACAGGTGCAACGAAGCGCAAGATTGCGCGGACGGCTCGGATGAGATTCCAACGTCGTGCCCAAAATGCGACGAGTCGTCGTTCAGATGCCGCTCTGGGAAATGCATCAAAGCTGAGCAGAAATGTGACGGGTCTTACAACTGCCATGATCACTCGGATGAAATGGGCTGCGCTAAGCCCTCTTGCTTGAAAGGTGATCAAACACTCGAGAAATAAATTAGCCATGTACAAATATTGACCCTCTTCAGCCTTCAGATAGGTAATTTCTGTAATGGAATAATCGTGAATTGATTTAGAAATCTGTATTGCAGGTGCTGCTTTTAACCACACGTTTGGTGTGAAAATTAAAATCATGATTTTCATAGAGTAGTGTTAGACCATCCGTATCAGTGATGACTCTACTTACCGATTGACTATATAATTGACAAACTTTATATTGTAGTCCTAAGCTGTATCCTCTAGGTAGTAATTCAAACCGTTTTCAATATACTACTACCAGGTTTCTTGCCATGCGCCAACGGTGATTGCTTCTTAAACATGTCCCGCTGTGATGGCACGAACCACTGCGCTGACGGTTCCGACGAGTTGGATTGTCCGCCCTGCCAAGATGACGAATTTAAATGTGACAATGGTGAGGGTTCATTTTCGACTTGAGTATCGAATTTAATGACAAGGCAGATTGTGTATGAAGCCACCATGGTTGTCTGTTGAATGACCACGTGAAAAATACGGTCATCACGTTAAACGCTTACGGTTGGTTAATGTAACAAATTATGAATAAATTGTAGATATATGTAGACATTTCGCCACTTGTTATTCGGAATTCTCGCACAACAGGTATAGGGAAGTGCCAGCCAATATCTCTGCTGTGCGACGGGACGCCAGACTGTCTTGACAGCAGCGATGAAGCGAACTGTGGTGAGTGAACTTGTTAGTACAACTAGTAGGCAGTAATTCTTGATTGCTACTGAAAACTTGAATATCAGGAGAGGTCTATTATTTGAAGGAAATCCTACTGTTATAGTTTTAATTATAACTTAACTTTATGAATATATGATTTCGGGCAACCGTAACGTATTTTTATGTAGCATAGATTTGTTAGAATATTTTTATTTTCACCAATTAGAAGATATTTCATGGAGTGGATACGAAGAAAGCTACTTTTACTAGAGATTTAATAAAGGAATTCGTTGCGAAATCATTTTTTTAAAGACTATAATATACTCTCGAACTCCGAAGCTTTTGTTCTTGTTTTAATTTTAAGTGTAATAATCGCTCTCTGAAGGTTCCATTTATCAAGACTTCTACCGTAATGTCGTAACGTCCTCTAATTTCCAAACCTACAGATGTCAACTGTGCGGAAGGGGAGTTCAAATGCGCAGATCAATCGATTTGCCTTCCCGCGAATAAAGTATGCGACTCTGAATTGGATTGCAAAAACGGCGACGATGAACTCCCTCAGATGTGAGTTGGCCTTTTCGTAGCGTGTATTCATCCTATAATTGAAAAATTTCAATATGGGAACATTGAAATTTGAATCATCATGCAAAATATAAAAATTAGATTATATCTACGGCTTATTGCATTTCTAGCTAATAATATGACAGAATATGTTGTTATATGTAGAGTAAATTAGCAGAGGTACAAATGTTAGAACGCCGTCCTGTGCAGACCTTTCTCTACTTCATAAAGGGTGTGGTCTCTACAAGCTAACGAAATTTTCTACAGCTGAAAGAGCCGGCCGCTAGCAACATCTATTATAAACTGTTGTGCTCAACTAGTGGCTTTATTTTGCGGTCGAAGTTACAAAAAATCTGAAGAGAAGCTATTGATTTTTGACGTGCCCTCTTTTTTTTTATCACAGGTGTGCTAAGGGTCCTGAATGCGATGCTACAGTAAGTGTCTGCAAAGTATCCTGCACTGAAGACCAATTTCAGTGCAATCGGACGAAGAACTGCATTGACCGAAAGTACGTGGCGCAATCATTTGCTCCACCTCAATTTTTTTAAGTTGACTGTTAGCGATGATTCATTACGAAATAAACTTGTCTGGCTTTAGTAACGTGCTGATAATGATCTAGCTAACTCGAAAATCTAGCGGATTCAGTCTTCCGAGACATTCGGTTGGGGGTATACATGATCGTAACAAAAAACCCAGATTTTGTTAACATATTCTAGCGTTTTCATTATCAGTCGAAAAATACGGTGCAGCATAACTCTTTCATCACTAACCAAAATTAAAGTGGAAATTTTTTCTAACTATGAGCGTGTTACCACTAACTTCCGTCCACCTACAGTCAGCTGTGTGATGGCACTTCAAACTGCGACGACGCTTCTGACGAATATTTCTGCCAAGTTATTCAGTCTCCTAGTAAGTAAAGAAAAAATAACATGATCTTTGAACGACCATTAAAGTTGATCCCATTTGATCGAAAGGGCTAGATATCAAATAGAATGCATTTTAAGCCAATTGAATATTGGCGTCTTTTATCGCAGCGAGAGACCTTGTAATCATTCAGAACCATGCTACATAGGTGTTTGAATTCCCGCCGCTAGGCTTCATACTCGCGTATTTTTTTCGAAAATGTATTTTGATATATCGTGTATTCAGATTCGCAAGACGTAAGCTCATGCGATCGCGGCGACTTTCACTGCGGTTCTGGGGAATGCATCGCTGACAGTAAAGTCTGCGATGGAGTACAGCATTGCTCCAATGGCGCCGATGAGAGCAGATCTTGTGGTACGGTGTAGTTATGAACTTATAATTACTGAGAAGTTGTGTATACCAAGACATTTCGTACTATTTTACATGCAGGCTACTATGAACGTAATGTTGTGACAATGAACTTAGCATCTTAGTTCCAAATCATTTGAAGAAAGTGTGTGGCTCCCAACGGAAAAAAACACGTGTAACTAAACCCTGATATCGTGAACTTATCATTAATATTTAATTTGCATAGCATCGGAGCAGCGTAGACCTAACCAATATAACAAATCTCTAACTGTTGGAATTTTTTTTCTTGAATAGACTTAATTTGAATAATTCACAGAGGAATCTTGCAAAGTGAATAAAGGCGGGTGCGCCCACGAGTGCCACAGCGGTGCCGACTCTCGGCGCTGTTTTTGCCGAAGAGGCTTCAAGCTAGCAGAGGACCTCGCTTCTTGTGAGGTCTGAGCTAAGCGACAATCGTAGCTTTTTGTGGGTAATTAGGAATTTTCTGCCTATTTTTGCATGCATTGAAGAACGTGCCTTGTCGATTCAGTTTTGTCTTTGAAGTTTCATAGTAAAGAAAATTTTTTTAAAGAGCGTCCAACCTCGTGAAGCAGTTTGATGCCGTTTTGTTTCATTCATTTGTGTACATCATATGAAAATTTTCCAGTGAATCTAGTTATTTTCTTTGGGTAATAGCCCTGAAAAGTCTTCAAGTTTGAACGAAAGCACATTTGTGCGATTTTTTTTTTTTCATGAAGACCGGAATAAAATTTAAACTTGATCCATTAACATGGAGATAGTGCCGCAAAATTGAAATCCTACTCGGATTTGCTGTACCAGTGTCTGTGAAATTAATCACATTTAGACAGCGACAGTTTCAAACTTTTCGATTCTTTTTTTTTTTTTTTTTTGACTACACGCATTCTCGTACAATCAGACTTTTTTTATTGACCGATAATTATTTATGGGCCTTTGCATCATAACATGGTGATCTCGGCGCTTCAGTGTAGGCCTGATGTGGCCTGTCGCCGATTCTTTTCCTTTTCGTGCCTTGTTCACAGAAGATCTAAAATCGTGTCATTTGACCGTATCTTTTCCCGACTGACGAAAGTTTGAAATAGCTACGCGACTTCCACCGATCATGACAGTATTGTCAGGAAATTACAAATAACCATCTATTTCCAGGATGTAGATGAATGCAGTGAGAATGACCCCTGCGAGCAGCTGTGCATAAACACTCCCGGTGGACATCAATGTTCCTGCGTCGAGGGCTACCTGCCTTCTAAGACTTACTTCTGTAGGCCTGCAAGTAAGAGAGAAGGAAGTCGTAGCGAGTCGTAACTTGCTGATTATTTTAATTCAAGGCTTTTCGGTGGCTAATTCTGGCGCGTTGCGTGTATCATGATATTCAGTCGGTAAATTACCGCACTAAATTTCCTCTTTTCAAGTGCCCAATTGATGATTGAAATCGTTCCCCTTCATTATTATCGATGAAATTATAACTGATCATGGTCTCGGATCCTAATATTTAGCTAATAAACCGTTTGTGCTCTCCCGAAATTTATTAAACTCCAGACATTTATTATTTTCCGCTTTAGATGGGCGCAAGCAGAGGATAGCTCTGCTGTATGGCAATACAGTCAGCTGGCTCGGCGGCGTTCCAGTCCGCATCATCGGCCCCGATGACCTCAACATAACGCACGCCTCCTACGATGACGTCGATGATGCAATAATCGCCTTGGACGGTACGCAATAAACGAATATAAAACCCTCGAATAACTACATTATCGTCGATCCCTATACCTCGAGTTAACTGCAGGATTTCTTTTAGTAACATTTTCAGTCGTGCTATTTTACCTAGAATTTTCATTTGGCTTATATTAAAGAATAGTGCAAAATTCTCACTTCCTGAAAGCCCGTTTGGATGAGCTTGATCTTCAAAGCCCAGGGTACTTGCTACAGTTAGGTTGCCTTATTGTGCAATCGTGTCGCTCGGTGATGGTTTATTGCCCCCCTATTTTTTTTAGTTCGTGGCGTTCTTGGCAAAGTGAATTCGTCGGACCTGAAGTGGACTCCTATTATGAACGGGTTGAGTGACGTCACAGCACTTGACGTCGACGCATCGGACCGCAATGCATACGTAGCACAAGCTAATCGCGGCCGCAGAATCAACTACGCTTCTCTGAAAGCCAGTTCTATTTGTACATTTAGTTTTTATGCATATATTAACAACTTAGATTTTGCCTCCTGGAAGTTTCGGACTGTATGGAGTATAGCATATTTTGAATTGAATTGAATGGGGTGGTGATGAGTTATTTTTATTGATAAATATATTGTCCTAGAATCAAGCCTAGTCAATGCATATCAATGTGAATTCTGATCAACAAACAGGTATGCAGCATGAGAACATCCATATGCTTCACGATTTACGAGAACACCGAAATCCTGATATCATCGGTGGCTGTGGCAAAGGCCCAAAGGCTTCTCTTCTTCTGCACTAATGGCTTGGATTCCACGGCGTCAACAATATTCCAATCTAAACTAGATGGTAGCGGCAGGATCGAAATAGCTCGTCCAAAGGTAAAGTCATAACTAGTTTCATTAATTTTGCGAATTATATTATAAATTTTGTCAATGGTATACTTATTTGCTAAATTGAATATCATTTCTCCTGCAGCTTCGAGGTTGCAGTGCCATTGCGCTAGACGAGCCCAAAGGAATTATTTATTGGGTAGACCCTGAATTACAACAGCTGAATTCTGCTGCCTTCTCCGGCCATAGGACATCTGTTTTTAAATCTCTAAGAGTAAGCTATGTAGACACTAATAACCTTCTAGTGTAGTATAACTGACAAACATTCATATATTATCGTGGGTGATTCATAATGATAGAACCTCGGTGGAAATTCATACTTGCATGAGCTTATATTTCCAACTATTATAATCTGTAAATCATTTAAGTCCACTTTTTGGGAGTGAACTGCTTGATCCTCTCGGCACTGACGCAACTCGCTTCATTATAGGTACCTGTGACCAACTTGCTGGTGTTCGGGCCTTCAGTGCAATGGCTTCTGCCAAACTCCACCCTTCAGTATTGTCAGAAGCATTCCAGCAGATACTGCCATCAGGTTCAGCTTAATATTCCGGCCACCGCCATCACAACCTCAAAAGCAGTTACTACGCACGGTTGGTGGGATTAGGTTTATCGCAAAATAGTTTTACTTTGAATTGATTTTGTTATCTAGTGCATCTGAATTGGTACATCTGGAGTTGGTAAAGTACTTTCATATATAGATATCTTTCTTGAATATCCACCAGAGTCACGGCTGTGCCAGGAAGAGAAGTGCAAGAATCTGTGCATTTCTTCATCATCCGCAGCTTCTTGCTTATGCGACAACATCTCCGCTAACGAGTGCAGCGTAACTCGGACACTTCTCATGTTTGAGGCAAGTATGCGTAGAGAACAAGAACCTCAAACTAGCTACAATTTCCCCATTTCGGAAATTAATGCCATATGTATGCTCATTCTATAATTTTATTAGAGATGTATCCTCGGGATTTAACTGTGTTTTTAAGTCTTTGTAACTGAATGAGGACCGAACTAGAGTTGCCACCGTTGAATCCTCCAAAATCTATCTCAACTTTGCGGGTCCGAGCGCGTACCTGGGAAACTCGGCCAGTGTGAGACAAAGTGCAAGCAAACAGAAGTAAAGTTGGCTTAATTATTTTTTTTGTCTCTAGTTGTCCTGAAAGCTCTTTCATTGAGAATGTGCTGGCTGCATGCGTGCATTATTAAAATGCGCAGTAAGAGATTTCTCCCCTTTGGCTATTTCATTTTGAAATTACATTCGTGAAGTTCGGAGAATAAGGCTCAAAGCACACTTAAGAAGTTCGTTGTACTCTTTTTACCGTCAACATGAATTTAATAATTGAGATACTCAGTGTATGGGACACTCTGATTTACAAATTTATTGAATTAAATTTGAATTGTTTCATTAATAATCAATTGGCGTATTTATAGATTTTAATTTATTTTTGAACTGATGGACCGTCAACCGACAGTACGATATTCTTTTCTAAAGTTACATTTCGTAGTTATTCGTATTTTAGGTCTGAAAAAAAGGTGCTATAGCGTGTGGAATTTGACAATTAACCCTAATTTTGTTTATTTTTGCCCGACAGAATTCCTCGTGTAATCCTGATTTCTGCATGCCAGGAGGCACTTGTGTCGAAGTGGAAGGTGGTGGCGTCACGTGCAGGTGACGATTCGTCTACATATTAGGCCATAGTGCCCAGTCCATTGACTCGTATGAAGCTCTTGAAATTCCTATTTCGATTCTTAGGTTGTCTTGATAATACTATCAGCTAGTCAGCTGAAAACGTATATTGACACATGAAAACTTGAATAATTTATTACTTAGTGTGTCTTATGGAATGCGTCGTGTTTCAGCTGTTTCAAGGGTTACGAAGGCGATACCTGCGACATTGTACAAGCAGAACCACATGGGCACAAATACGTGGCGCCATTGGTAGCAGTCTTCGTGTTGCTCGTTCTTGGTATCGCCGGAGCTACTGCTTACTACCGCTACAAGAAGCCACTATTCCTCTTCAAGATGACGCCGAGATGGGCTAGCAGGCGAGTTTTCTTACTATTACGATTGAAGCGCACCCAGAACGTCGGAGTCAACCCCCGGTTTAATTTACTTTCATTCGTTTGACACTTGATCTGTCAGGGCCAACTTCGTTGAAATTGAAGCTTTGCATCTTTTCTAGATTAATTATTGGTTGTTAACCATGTGTTGGTTCATGTCGAACTGCATTTGAACTGAAAGAGACACGTGCTACGAACCATTTATCCTGCCCAAGCCACTTGATAAATGAGCAGTACCGTTCAATACGATGGTTTATGTAACTGATTGTTAAGGTAACCTCGATGTTACAGGGAAAGATGAAGCTAATACCCAGCTAATTTTTGCAGAACCAAAACGCAAGTAAGGTTTTCAAACCCAGCGTACGGCGCCCCCGAAGAAGAGATAGACGCTACCCTGAGGCGCGGCCACGCTGCCATTCACGACTGCGAGTCTAAGGGAGGCGTATCCAGGTCAACTCTAGTCACAGTGCAAATTGATAGGGAAGATGTACCTCCTTTAAAGTGATTCGATGGATTACTTGTAACGCAATGCATTTCAGAGAAAAACGATAAATGCATCGGCGTGTACAAAAATCTAGATACGTTTGGTACGACTAATCGACGTGGTGCGAAGCAGCAACAAAATGATGAACTTCCCTGTTAGGATGTCGAGCATAATCTATAGCACAGATGAAAAGTTACTTCACATGTTGAGCATTTTCTATTTCAAAGTTTCAGAATTATTTTGTTATTAAAATTTGAACTAATATATCTATTAATAGAATTTATTATTAGAACAAAGTTATACGTTCCAAATTTGTTCTGTTGGGAAATGTCATTTGAATGAATATTCGACTTGCAAAGATTCTGCGGACGTCGAGTGATTCGAATATATTGAATGAAAATTAAATACATGGAGGAATCATTTACCCATTGATGTCTAATGTTCCCATTAATGTAATGTCACAAAAAAGCGGCTGCAGCGATTTCGTACTGTAGAAATCTCCAGGTCATTGTGTTTCAGCAGTCAGGAACGACGGAAAGCACTGAAATAAGAGTATGAGACAGCTGGCTGCTAAAAGCTGCTGTGTTGATACGCAGCTACTGGGAATTTGTATAATGAATCAATGTACCGTATTGGTCAAGTTAAGCTAGGCCTAATCTTGTGCGTTGGTACCAACTGTTCTGAATAATTGGAATAAAGTTCAGCGTGAGCTGAAATTATTGCGATAAGCCATCAGGGATGGACGTTATAGCATGGAATGATGAACTGGATAAATTGGAGGTTGTATATACAGGATACGGAAAACTAGATAGCTAGACTGGTACCTAGGGCCCCAAATGGACTGCGGTGGAGGCTTTAAGAGGGATAAGGGATGGAGCACGTCTGAAGAGAATGAAAGAAACCTCGAAATGAAGAGAAAGACCCGAAAGAATGCTTGATGAACGTTGGGCACCAAAGTTTGCGTAGGTGTTGTTTACCGGAGTCCCAGAAGCTCAGAAGCAAACAATCAAAACTTGAACCTTTTGCTGCGTGCAGTGTCTGAATCAAAACCGCATCATTTGCTGTTGATGGGTGATTTCAACTATCCTGAGATTGAGTGGAACAACGAGATTTGTAACCATGGCGTTGGCCATCCAGCAAGAAGTTTCCTTTCCGCAACACAAGAAGCATTCCTAATACAGCACCAGAGAGAAGCTACCAGACTCGGGGTCGGCCAGCGACCAACACTAGACGATCTGATCCTGACAAATAGACCTGACTTGGTCAATGAAATAACCACTACGTCGGCACTTGGGAAGAGTGATCATGCTGTGCTGGTCATTGAGGTTGCTTGCGGCTTTCAGATGCCTCGGAAAAGGAAGCGTTACAATTTCTCGAGGGCAGACTACGAGGGAATGAGAGGGGCGCTTAGTGATGTGGACTGGGAGGGTGAGGTGGGGGGCTTGGATGTGAACCAGGCATATGAAATCTTCACAGACCACCTGCACAGAAGCATGGCCAGGTTTGTACCGATCTCAAGGTGCACAGAAGCACATAGAAAAAAGTGGCTCGATAGGGACACTCTGACTTCAGTCAGAAAAAACATAAGCTATATCGGCGTTAGATGCAGAGCGGGGCAGGAGAAGACTATATATGAAGCATACAAGAAGGCTAGAAATCAAGCAGCTAGATCATGCCGCGTGGCGAAGAGGAGGCTCGAAGCAACAGTAGCTGCTCAGGCTAAAAGTAACCCCAAATCCTTTTGGTCGTATGTGAAAGCTAAAACAAAGTCTAAATCAGGAGTTGCTCACTTGAGACGGGAGGATGGGTCGAAGACCGTGTCTGACGAAGAGAAAGCGGATGTCCTAAACAAATTCTTCCACAGTGTTTTTACTGAGGAAAAGGGTGGCGAATTACCGGATATGCCCGTCTATCACTGGGAGGAAGAGCTGTCTGACTTCGTGATTACGGAAGAGGTAGTGAGAAAGAGTCTCAAAAGCCTGAAGAAGGACAAAGCTTCAGGCCCGGATGGGTTGAGCCCTCGCCTGTTAGCAGAAGTCGCCGACGCAATCGCCCGGCCTGTTGCCATCATCTTCAGAAAATCCCTGGAGTCAAGCACTATTCCAGACGCCTGGAGAAAAGCAAGGGTCACTCCAGTTTTCAAGAAAGGGAGTCGCCTGCAGGCCAGCAATTATAGGCCAGTTAGCCTGACATGTGTTCTCTGTAAATGTATGGAAGCCCTTGTGAAAGAGCGGATCATGGCACATCTACACCGTAACAACCTCGTCAGCAGAAAGCAGCATGGGTTCATTGGAGGGCGTTCGTGCGTCACACAGCTGCTCGAGACGCTGGACATATGGACAGAGGTCTTGGACGATGGGGGCTCTATAGATGCCATCTACATGGACTACATGAAGGCATTCGACAGTGTTCCACATCGACGCTTGGTGGCAAAGATTGAAGCACACGGTATAAAGGGGAGAGTGCTGGGATGGGTTGAGGATTTCCTGAAAAACCGGAAGCAATGTGTCGTTGTCAACGGAGTAGAGTCGACCACAGTTAATGTGGTGAGCGGTATACCTCAGGGGAGTGTCCTTGGTCCCATATGCTTCGTTCTGTATATCAACGACCTGCCCCGTCATGTCCTGAGCCATGTGGAGCTCTTTGCTGACGATACCAAGATCTTTGCTCGCAGTGACGACGCAGTTGCCAGAGAGACCCTTCAGGGTGACCTGGACCGGCTGTACAAGTGGTCGACAGACTGGCAGCTGCGCTTCCACCCCGAAAAATGCTGTGTCCTCCGTCTGGGAAATCGAAGCAACAGCACCCAATATAATATGATGGGTAGAGACGCTCTGGGCAATGAGTATGTAACGCCGCTGAAGGAGAGCGAATCGGAGAGAGACTTGGGAGTGCTAGTGGATGGAAACCTAAAATTCAACCTTCATGTGGCTCAAATAGCTGGGAAGGCTAACAGAATTTTGGGCGTTATCAGGCGCACTTTTGATTTTCTTACTCCGGAAACATTCGTTCAGCTCTTCAGGTCTCTTGTTCGGCCAGTTCTGGAATACGGACACTCAGTATGGCAGCCGCGACACAAGACCCTCTGCGCCGACCTGGAAAATGTCCAGAGAAGGGCGACCAAACTGATCGCAAGTCTCGAAGACAAGCCTTACCAGGAGCGTTTGGTAGCTTTGGGCCTCCCTAGCTTGGAGCACCGCAGACTGAAAGGGGATATGATTGACGTCTTCAAGTATGTCCATGGAGCCTACGATGCCGACCGGCCGAAGCTGCATCCTCACCGCGGAAGGGATACACGAGGTAATAGCCTGAAGCTCGCCAAAGAACGCAGTATAAGAAATGTGAGATCAAGCTTCTTCTCCCAGAGGGTGGTGTCAGTATGGAACGGCCTTCCGGACAGCGTCGTAACTGCCCCTCTGTGAGCGCTTTCAAGAGCAGGCTTGACAGTTGCTGGGCGGACCGGCCGGGCCTTTTCGATCCTGAGTGCTACCATTAGCCTTTCAGTTTGCAGTCACCTGGGGTGCACCATCTGCGCGTGTAACCTAATGGGATCGGCTATGCTGAGGGTGAACAAGGCGGGTGAACAGGCTTGAGTGCCTACTACACCGACAATTCAATTAAATTCAAAGATGGACCTGTGGAACTCTCGAGTGAGTAAATACGAACGCGAGTGTCCTGCAATTGCACTAAAATGTGATTTATACGAGACATGGGCTTCCCTTGGCCATAAGAGACCAAGAGAAGAATGGTTAATGAAAGTACAGGGTGTTACTGGGACCGAATGGGAAGTTGGAGAATGCAAGGAAAGGAAGTGAAATTATGTGGTTTAAGAGTGTAGAAGCAAGCGACGGAAAGAACAGGCTCAGACAGTAAAAGATGAAAGATGCCAACGTACGGGTCAATGAGTGCATTTATGATGGCAGTAAATGAGGGGGACTAAATGTTCTGCGTGAGAGCAAATTCTTTGAGTGTGAATGCACGGACATACAGGTGGAATGAAGGAATAGTGGCTTTGTTTTGTGTGACAGAGCCACAGAGGGGGGGGGGGGGGGGAACTGGAGCATCTGATTGCGGTGTGATATGTATATGGGAGGTAGAGAGTGGAAATGAATTCAAATGATGCGATTGATACTATACGAGAGAAGTGAGGGTGATGGTGTGATGCATGAGAGAACAGGAGACAAATGAATTGCGATGATTATGCGTCTGTCAGCAAGGGTGACTGTGCAACGACAGTGTGAAAAGCGACATTTTGACAGTGCATGTAGATTGTGGGAACATAGTTGCAAACACAAGATTTTTTTTTAGAATCAGTTCATTTTAAATTTCCTCATAGACTCGAGATTTAAACCAATATCTTGCGTAATAAGATAATGCTGATATTAATGAACCATTGAACTTGACGATGAGTCTAAAAAAACTCTTCTCTGATCTTTCCACTATGCGAGGGAGAGAAAGAGGTTGGTCAGTTGGTGAGAATGGAGGTCACAGGGGTATGTCGAAACTAGTAATAATGAAATTATAAATGTAACGAAAATAATTTAATGGAAAGCGAAAATTGACTTGGGGGCCTGCAAGATGCCAGTATCCTATTTGAATCTTGAAAATACCGTGCAGTAAGTGGAACATGGCTTCAATTATTCCATAGACCAAATAACTGTTGTAGTTACTGGGAGCTAATTTAAAAGCCCGACTCATGAAAGTAGTCTTCAGGGACACCACGCCCCAAAATCTAAATACTATCCAGTATCTCTTGATACCTATTTTCGTTATTCTAAGAATTTAGTCAGGGCAGGCTTGAACTAATAACCGTGGTCGCAATTGTGTCATGAAACAGCTACTTACGCGAACTTAGCATTTCGTAGCATTTCTTTTCACATGAATGTTGGGCCCTGCTCTATTGCTCGAATGCAGTTTGTTGCTGTCGTGCGACCGAATATAGAGATTTGAAAGGTCACCGATATTTGAAAAGACAGAAAAATTAATAGCGAATGTTCATAGACGTGCAACAAGGAGAATTCCAGGCTTGAAGAGGAAGTCTAATGAAGAAAGATTATTAAAGATTATGAAGCTTCCAAGCCATAGTTACCGATGTCTGCGTGGGGACCTCATTAACATATTCATGTAGGCCTATACTCATGGCTTATACAAAGTCCCTGAAGGATTACTAGAATTTGAAACAAGAACCAACCCCGGGGGCCACATCTATAAACTTGAAGAACTGAGTTGCAACTCATCCACGCGACAACATCTCTTCTAGCTTCGAATCACCGACATGTCGAACAGCCTCCCCGATTACATCGTTGGCGCTCCGAGTATAACGCGTTCAAGAACAGACTAGATAAATCTATGGAAAAATATATGTTAATACTTTAAATGCTTCGCAGGCTAGCACCATATCGAACCCGGTGTAAGTCTAGTACGTAGCTATTTCAAACTATCGTCAGTCCAGAAAAGATCCGGTCAAATGACACGATTTTAGATCTTCTGTGATCTTTCACGAAAAGTACAAGAATCGTTAAGTTATGTAATGTTACTGCCTTTACTATCTGTTTACGCTGAAGTCAATGTAGGATGCAATCAGCAGATATCACGTTATGGTTATGAGCTGCCCAGATTCATATGAAATTGCAATAACTAGTATAATGACTTAATCATGGCTGTGTGGGCCATGGTTGAACCATGATCTTTGTGGTGAACTATGGTGTAGGCGCTGGCGTTGCACTTGCAGAGGAGGCCAACTCGAGACCTAACCACTATTTATTATACAATTTAGCAATATTGTCAGCTAAATTGATTTTGAGAAAATTCAATTGCATACTAGGAGACTTCCTTCATGCCATTGACCTAATTAAGAATAATTGTCTGGTTCGAATATTGGCTTGGCCATTCCGCGTCGCCAGTTTTTAAATTCAGTTGACAGCTATGGCGGGAAATTTAAAGGGGCAAGTTGCAGCTGGTGTTAGCAGCGGATAGTAGTGCGTAGCCTACTGCGTAACTGCGTAGTAGTCATAGTACAAGATTACAAGAAAATGAAGAATCCTAGGCAGAGAAAAGTTATAAAGTAAACGCTTCCATCTATCGTTGCTTCGTTGGGCACCAATTAAATTACAACAAATCATTGATTTCTTTTCAGGTTGAAATTTTTAGATATGGCTTGCATTAATAGGACATTGGAAGATGTTGAAAAACTCGTTGAGTTAGCCAAACTTGACGCTTCAAAATTGTTTCCTTGTACCCAGACATTGGAGTTTCCTGCTGCCTATAATCCTGAGAAATATTTGCTGTTGCAACTGCCCAACAAACTCATTGATGCTGTTAAACAAGGGGATGAGTGAGTACCTATTAAATATTTTGAAATTCTTACTGAAATTTTAGTACCTAGCTAAGCCTACATTTCATTTGAAGCAAGTGATGTCTCAGTTCTCAAATACCTACCAATCACCAAATTCTTTTAATCATGAACATGATTACATGAGTCATGGTTAGGCTTGAAAGGGTTGGTTAATGAAACAGAATGCCTGCTGAATTCACATTCTTTTATGCTAATATCTTCAGTCAAACGCAGAGAAAACAAAACTAAAAATGTTATAATGGTTACTTACTGGTGAGTTATGGTCCTAATGAAAATGCTTTGAATGCAATACCTAAGTCTAGTGGCAGCAGGGCCAGCAGCTCTCTCAAATCTCAATCAATTGTCAGTTATGGAAAGGTTGGGTTCCAAAATCCAAAGGCTGGATCCCTTGTGAATCAAGTCACAAAAAATTCAAGAATTGGCAACAGGCCAATAGTGGCAAAGCAGAGAGTTTTTTAGACTCTCCCTCAAGTTCATTTTTGAGTCCTATATGCAGACTAGTAAAGTACCTATCCTGGATACCAGCATTATCATACTTGACAAATTGGTTTAAATCTTGAGTAAATGAGAAAATTAAAAATGAACTTATTCTATAAAAGCTCTGGTTTGCCCATTGCCACTATGCTGAGGCCATGGGATGATGGGCCTGGCCGCCTGTTTCTTCAGTGCCAACCCTTCTATTCTATTCTATAACACTAGTCACTAGTTAGTGATAGTTAGTAACTATTAACTGCAACAATGCTGACTGCATTACTGTTGTCTGTCCCAGTAGGCTATTTGCCTTCTGGACCAGAAGGGCTGAGAAGGCAAATACTCTAACTAGAAGTTCTGGTTAGAGTATTGCCTGCCCTGGGCTGCCCATGCCTGGTCAGCTGTTCTACTTAGAATAGTTGTCTAAATTTTCCCCTAATCAGGCTGCTAATGTCACTAGTTAGTGGTAGTTAGTACTTAGTAGTAACTATTAACTGCAACAATGCTGACTGCTTTACTGTTGTCTATCTTAGTAGTAGCTATTTGCCTTCTGCTTCTGGTTAGAGTATTACCTGGTCAGGCAGGTCAGCTGGTCTACCTAGAATAGGTAGTTGTCTAAATTTTCCCCCAATCAGGCTACTAATGTCACAGACAGGACAGGTAAAGAATAAAAACTATTATTTTATGGCAGTGTTTAAATATCACATGTAAAATGACTTTTTTTCATTTTTCATGAAATGAATTAGGCTCCTATCTCCTAAGTCCTAACTGCCAAGGGGCAAGGGCCTCAGAAATGAGTAAAATAACCTGCAAGCAAAATCATTTGTATCTCATTTCATTTATGAGTGACACCTACCTGATTTTCCAGCATTTCTGGTTACCACTCTACTCTTTACTTTAGGACTTCAGGGTTCAGGCTTCTGAATTAGGAATATTGGGCAGAAGCTTCCTAAAATTTCTGTAAAAGTGATCATTTTGCAAGTGATTTTCAAAAATTGTGGTTAATAGTAAGCCATTTTTCTTATTTTTTTCAATCTGCTAACTGGGAATAGGTCAGAGAAATGGGTGCAATGTGCTATATTTTATTTACAGACTTTTCTGTCCAATTCATGGGTCGCATTTGCTCAATTTTTTGCTTTGGCAGGTTTTAATATAAAATTGGAAAATTGGTCAGAAGTTGTTAACTAAAGTACATGAATAACATGATTAGCCATAAAATTTCAAATGTATAAATAATTTTAAACTCTGAAACTATGAGATTCTATTCATTAGTAAAAAATTCAAATTCTGCATAAACTACCGTAAAATTGGGTTACTTTGACCGGCGGGGTAACTTTGACCACTTTTCGTTTTTTTAACAAAAACCCCCAAAACTCAAAAATGATTTGACATAGAAAAATTTTGTCAATGGCCATCAAAGGCCTAATACTGAGGCTACGTAACACAATAGAAAGATTTAAAAAGTTTGCATATCTAAAGTCTTATATATGGTAATTTTAACTTAATTTCCAAACCGGTCAATGTTACCCCATCACGGCTGCCATTAGATGGTCACATTTCGCCCATTTGGGGGTGGCACCCCCCATTTGCAAACTATGACCTTTTCCTAAAATTTGTCTTTTGCATAGGTATGTAACTAGAAGAGTTCTACTAGCCTACAATGCACCACAACCTGGAGTTATTTGGAGTTATTTTACCAAAAAATAAAATTGATTTTACCACCCGGTCAAAGAACCCCCAAGAGCTGGGGGTAACAAAGACCATCACTTTTTTTTTTTAAATTACATCAAAACTATGCGAGGCAGGAGCCAGCAATTTATGGTGAGTGAAGCTAGAGTATAGACCTGTATTTTGCATGTTTCAATTTAAGTTTAACTTATCTAGTAAAAAAATGGCATCATTTTGAATAAAAAAAGTGGTCAAAGTTACCCCATTTTACGGTATGTGAGTGACTGAATGTCCAAAGATCTTTGGCAACACAATGGCACCCATTGAAAGATATTGTCGAGAAATCTTGAAGGTTTAGGTAGTTCATGCAACAAATTCTCAATAATACTGGCAATATTTTGGGCCTAAAAATCCTATCAGAGTATCACATTTGCCAAACTCTGTATCAGGGTTGGCAATAATTAAATCATGTGATTAAATCATCAGATTTTTTTTATAAAAAATCATGAGTTATTTTGTTTTTTATATATTTAAATATATATTGAGTGGCAGTCTTCAATTTATTTTGAGGCATTGTTATTCATGGTTTAGAATAAATGTACTATGAATGACAAATTGGTATATAAACTTGCCTTTAACGTGTATTAGGTTCCAATAAATTGAATGTTTTTGGTACAGAGGCATCATGTGTTGCAATACATTGTACATAGCTAGCAGCTTAGCTAATTCTTATAAGGCTATAAGTAGTCTTTAACTATTTGACTATTTGTTATATATTGATTACAATATACAATTTAAATGTGTTAGCTAGCTTATACAGGGTGGGGCAGAACCGACTGAGCAGTTTTGAGGCAAAATAAAAGAGTAATGGAGGTACATAAAGAATGAATTTTATTGTCCTCGAGATTAGCATAACATACGGTACCATTTAAAATACTCATATTTTGAAAACAATATCACGAAGATGGTGTCTGTTAGCTGCATCACACTGTTGGAGTTGTTTGCCGACGTTTTCTACAGCACGTTCACACATATGGCAAGGTATGGCCATAACCTCTGATGCAATAATCCATCCCCTTAGCTGTGGTAGGGTGTGAGGGCAACTTCTGAACAACCTTTCTTTTAGATGTCCCCAAAGAAAGAAATTGCAAATGCTCAAATCAGGTGACCTTGCAGGCCACTGTAAATCACCCCTCAGAGACACCAGACCTCTGGGAAACCTGCATTTCAAAACATTGTGCATCTTTCGGGCTGTGTGAGCTGTAGCCCCATCCTGCTGGAACCACATGTCACCCAATGCTTCATTTCAACAATGTTTTCCATCTTGAGCTGCAAGAAATTTTGCAACAATGCAGCATAGCGATTGGAATTCACTGTTACGGTTACTCCCTCCTCTGAGAAAGACTTCAACAGTGTGCTGCAGCTAATGGCCCCCATCTTCCAAGTATTGTTTTCAAAACATAAGTATTCTAAATGGTATGTTATGCTAACCTCAAGGGAAACAAATTTTCTTTTTTTTTGTACCTACATTACTCTTTTATTTTACCTCAAAACTGCTTAATCGGTTCTGCCCCACCCTGTATATTGCAAGGTTGAGATTGTATTGACCTTTTAGGCAATTAGAAAGATTTTCCACCCTAATATGAGTATTATAATTAAAATATATAATTTCAATCTTTAAATATGTGAATTTAAAACTAGAAACAAAACAATTACAATTATAAGATTATATATAAAATAATTAAATGCAGTGAATGGATATAAAATATTTGAATTGTGCATAGGTTTATTTCAAACCTATGTTAGCTTTTCTCATAACTTAAGTCTCATGTCAAGTCGGTTGAGGTTTGTTTGGTTATTGTTCAGTTTGTTTAGTAGTATTGGTTTATTGGTCTGAATTAAATGGGAACAGTGCAATCAGTCACTACTAGTCGGTGTGTATAGACTACTATAGAGGGTAGAGTCTGGACTGTGGTAGATTTATAGGACATAAAACTAGTATATCTATTGATTGTGCTGTGCACTGTGCTATCGGCTACCTATCTGTTATGTGACTCTTCAATGTTTAGAAGATCTGCATTCCTGAAATGTTTTTGTATATTGAAGCCAGTTAAATGGTCAATATTTAGCTCATTACCTTGCTCCATACAAACTTTACAAAGCTAATGAATAGACTCGTCAATATCTGTTTACCCAAAAATCCCTAAGTGGTAAACACCACCTTGGCCTGTTGGCCATTATTGAAGGCAATAAGTGCCCTTTTTAGCCATCCATTATGATCCATATAGGTACTGTTATTGTTAGTAGGCTAATTGCAACATAAAAAAATAACCTTTCAAAAAGACAAAAAAGCTGAAAAAAAATCAAATAAGTAATAAAAATCATTGATTTTTTATTTTTTTGATTAAAAAAAATAAAAAAAAATAACCAACCCTGCTCTGTATAGGGGGTCAAACACAATGATTGAACATTGATACTATTTCAATTTAAATTAAAAGCGTGATCTTGAAGCCATCATATTTTAAAAAGAATAGTTTTATATTTGACCATCTTAGTGTGTGAATGCCTGAATGAGCCAAACTAGTAGACAAAGTGTGCAAGGGATCCTTGTCCAATTTTCTTGCTGTTCAAGTGAAATGGCACATTCCTAACAGAAATTTCACTTTTCCATAACTGATAATATATTGCAATCTAATCATTCTAGAGTAAACTGTAAAGTATTAGCAAATTATACCTAAAAATAAACCTGCAAATTTGATATCAAGTTAATAATTTGATATAATCTGGAGCAGAACCAAAATCTTATCTAATTTTTTATGTAGGCATCTGACATGGCTATATGAGAAAAGATTTTGCCTAAGTATATATGTATGTGATCTGTACAAATGCATTCTAACCTTTGTTATTTCTACTGTCTGTTATTTACAGGCTCATCTTGCGTGGTGATTCTGATGATTTTGCAGTGCTGTGTACTGATAATGAAACATTTGAGGTGAGGCTTCAAATGTTCCACTTAAAATCTTGTAGGATTGTCTAATTGCTTTTGCAAGAGATCTGCTCCAAAAAAAAGCTGGCGTAACAAGACAAAATAAAGAAAGCTGATTTTTCTTTTACTTCACATGATTATTATTTATAAAATATTTTATTCTGTTCATCTGTTGGAACCTGTGAAAGGTTATTCATTTTCAATACTTCATTGCACTGGTAAGCTTGATTGGTGAAAAATGTAGAGTGGTACAATGAAGGGTCTGATGTGAAGGAGAGAAAAGTAGCCACAAAAATCAACTTCACTGCTAAGACCCCCAAATACAATGTACCTGGAAATGCATCTCTGTTTTGTCTTTCCAGATTCAAGCATGAGTAGCAATTGCAGCCTCCTTATTTAATTGTCATAGGGTATTGAGCTCAATTTATCCCTTTGACATTGTTTTCTTATTTCACAATTTTCTAATTCTGCAGTACTACTTCTTAATTGTTTAATCACTCCTCTGTAGGTATGCATTATATATTTCTCTAATTGTGCTTTGTTACTTATTAATTGTTGTACTTTTCACTGATAGTGCATTGCTTTTTTTATAACTGTTGTACTTCCATCTGGTTGTAGTAGTAATTTATTATTGTCATACTGATCTTATCTAATTGTATCAGTGCATCTTATAAACTGTAACATTATTTTTTCTCTAAAGTGTGAATTGCTTCATTTACTTATCATCCATTGGTTATCAGTAACTTTATTTTTGTCATCCATCAGGTACGTGAAGCTGAGACATCAAACTCATTGGTGCTGGTTCCATCAATGCTCACCCCTGAAGATATGAAAAGCATTGGTAACAGCCGAGAGCTTCTTCACAAGGAGGTAAAGTAAAATTGTGGTGCAGTGTTTTACTCTGAACAACAATTTCACATTTTCACCCACATGATGGATGGTGTTATATTTTTAGTATGGCAAAACATGAAATTTTTTTGGTGTTCATTTTCTACATGAATTTCTTTGGTGTTCATTTTCTATGTTAATTTATTTCTGTTTCGCCACAAAAAAATCCACTTTATTAGCCAGCATACTTAAGTTTCTTCTCCATTGTCATGATTTACACGTGATTTGAGCACTGCATTGATTTTTGAACTGCAATTACAATCTTTGAAATGGAATGATTCAATGTTATTTAGCTGAACAAGGTTTAGTGAGTGTTGATCTTGATTGAGTCAAATAGGTGGCTTAAGGGGAGCGTCTACCCCAAAAATTATCTCGGCTATTTACAAACGGATCACTCTGAAACTTGGTACACATATGTAAAATGGAAAAAAACTCACATTTTGTTCCTGTGAAGATTTCCAAAAAAAATGAAAAAAAACGTGAAATTCATAGAAAACAGTCAAAAAAGGGGGTACTTTTGAAATCTATCTCCTCCTAGGATTTTCAAGCTACGACATCGAGACACATATCATTCGATGCGTAAAATCTTTATCTATAAAACGACTTATGGTACCATTGGATAGGCCAGAATGTCAGCTTTAAGATGAGACTAAACACGTAACTGCAGCACAACTCAAGTAGACACAATATATAAAGAGCTCATCAGCTAATTAGTTCCTATCTAATTACTTAAAGAACTCCCCCACCCGCCCCCCTTTCATAAAATGTCGTGAAATCATAAATCAACGTAGAGAGATGGCAGTGGTACCGTTGGATAGGGCAGAATGTCAGCTTTAAAATTAGTATGAAAACCGAAAAAGTAAAAATTTTCAATTTTAGGGTAGACGCTCCCCTTAATAAGTCTGTGGTTAAGTTGTTTATAAAACCACTAAAAAATGTTTGCAACAGTATTGAAAGAAAGTGATCATGACTGTTACAACGATTTTTGACTTCTTGTTTCTAAAGTTTTCAAGTTTTTCAGATTGTTGGAGTCCACAACAAATATCTGGAGGTTCGTCCATGCCTACCGAGGCTTGGTAAGCTGCGTGAGCTATTATCCGAGTGTCCGTATGCTGGCCCCTCTCATGTGCCTATGGATGATGATGAACAAAGGTATGTGTTCATGAGGAATTTTTCATAAAACTTTAACCTAAAATCCACGTGTTCTTAAATTCATGTTTGAGTCCTGAAATACGAAGAAAAGTATTGCAAGACTCTACTATTCCCACTGATCATAATCTCGTGGTTGTGCAGAATGTATGACATGACTGACCTGTTGGATCGAGTGCAAAGTAGTGATGATCAACTTCGAAGCGCACTTGAAGATCTTCCTGCTCTCTTCATTGATGGTGCATATTATTTGAATATTGATCACTATTTGTTTTGAATTTGTTCTTATCTCAATAATTAAATTCCAGTGCTGCTGAATTTTTATCACAATCAATTAGCTGATTTGTCATTTCATGCCCGACCCGTTAAGAAAATTTAAATTATAGGTGTTTGACTGTAGAGCATTATTTTGTGAGAATCTCAAGCTTATCTCAAGTGACGTTGCTGGGTTTGATTTATCTAAACTTCTTCGCGTTTCATAAATATAAGCAAGAGACTACTTGAATCTTCCAGTGTTGAACAAATTTTCTTGATTTGGATCTCACTTACTCGATAGTATACCTACTTGATTGCTAATTCTCCTTAGGTCACTGGCGCATGCTGGAATTTGAATACTTTTTTGGTGCCACCTCGAGCGTGCTTGGGGTGATTGAGGAGCAGCAGTGGCCTCTGGATGCCGTGCCGCGTGTGCAGCTCAAGCAGCAACTGCGAGACGTCGAGCCGGAGCCAGTCATTGATCTCTGCCTTAGATATTTCTTTACTAACTCCGATGAAAATGGTAATACTATGGAAAACATAGCTCTGGCATGAAGAAACTTTCAACTCCTTTTTGATTCATTCTGTTTAGAAAGCAACGTCAGCCATTGCGAGACAAGCCTGAGCCTGTAATTGATTGATCTTTGCCTTGGATATTTCTTCACTAACTAACTCTGATAGAGAACATTTCTCTGTCGTGAAGACACATTAAACTCAGTTTTTCTTAATTTTATGAGGGAAGCCTTACTTGAATTTACTGTCCATATTCTCATAAAATCTTCTGAATATTTGGTGGTGCATACTCGAGAAGATTAAAATAAATTTCTTTTCAGGTGAAATAAATTTTACTGTTGATTTTGTTCTCTAAATCTCTGATTCGTATTTTGCTTTGAGTACACGGTACTTTCGGTACTTTGAAATAAAAGTATAGCATTATATTCTGTGTTGTATAAATATTCTTGTGAAGACTGTTCCAAGCTTAAAATTAGGTTGTCAAATTCGTTTTCAGATGATATTTTGGCCATCCAAGATGAGAAGATCAGTCGACTTTTTGCCGAGGTACTTCTGCGTCCAGCTGATCGCTTCAACCTGAATGAATTTCTCACCATATGGCAGCAAAGCGTACCACCTGGTGAATGATATATTTGTATAAATAGGAACATGAGCCTTATTTTATAAAGTGCCTGACACTTGAAAGCGCCGATAGATACTGTGCTTGCCTTGAATTTGGCATGATTTTCCCATGTTATTAAGAATACACTAATTGGGCATCAAACAGTTTGAAGCGAATATATAATTCTCTAATTTCCCGTGCTTTAATTTACTGCTTTGCAATTAAGTTTGATGGCATTACTATAGTGATTTGCTTACTTTGAATATATTTGGTGTTGATTGGGGCTTGCTTCAACAAGTCTAAAAGTAAGGTATTCACTATTCAGACAATGTGTAATACAAATCTTGTTCCTGCAGACGTGTTCACTTGTGCTAAACAGCTCTATGGTTATGTACCGTATTTAAATTGTTGCTTCCTTGCTGTAGTTCTAGTCGACAGAATTTTGCTTAATAAGAATATTGACGACGGCCAAGTATCTTTGAACAGTCCGTAATTACAGCCCTTCTTACAGATGTGATCACTGGACAGGTTCTAAGAAGCTCTAACTATTTGAAAGATTTTTTGATACGAGTGGCATTGAAAAAGATTAATGTACGTATCAGCAAACAGTCGTTGATTCCGGCCTTGTTCCTACAGGAGTGGAAACTAAAGCCAAACGGCTCTGATATGTTTTCTTAAATCTCAATATCACCTAAATTTAAAAGCAAAGAAAACGCCACGTTAATTCACCATATCATGGGAAACGTTTCGGTATGCTTAATCATCATTTAAAAAAAAATAATTTTTTACATTGCTTAATTTTTTGACAGTAGTGAACACGAGTGCTGACCAGATCTAATGCAATGTATTAGTTCTGTTCGAACTGGCTGTAGTGCCAGTTGACCGATTGTTGGATACGAATAGTATTGAAAAAGCTTAATATATCTGTTGAAAATGGTCAATTTTTTGACAGGAGTGAATACAAGTGCTGATCAGCTTGAAGGGCTTGCTCTCGTGGACCGCAACGTGTCGCCCCCCGTCGTCTGGCTCTACCCTGAACACCAGCTTCCTGAGGATCCTGCTATGCGCTTTTCTCAGCTCTTCGAAGTCAAGAACAAATGGAGCTTGAATGAAATATCTCCTTATATCAGGTGCTTCTAACAGATGAACCCAAAATTATCCCTCGCCAACGGATTTATTAATTAATGTTTTAAGTCATTACTTAATATGCTTTAATGCTTTTCCTCGTGTATATATAGGCGGGACTGGGAGGGCGCGTCAGTTCACAAAGGGATCATTTGGTATGCTTCGCACGAACCATCTTGGGAGTCGCCAGATGGTTCCTATGGAATTTAATTTGCCCGTTCGTATCAAGAACGATGGATTATAAAAGACAATAGGTTTTGTTTTAGTGCTAAAGCTAACGTCAAAACTGCTGATTATGTGACAGAAAGCATATATTTTCGTTGTTTTACGGAGTAAATGAATCTTTTCTTGAGCGATGTTTCAAATATAATTTACGGGACTTAATCTTTTCTTGGGGAGATGTATATATACTTGTCATTTGCGGTGCATTAATATTTCTTGGGGGGGGGGGGTGAGTTTCACGTGCAATTGAGGGTAAATAACTCCGTTAGTTCTAATATAATCTTGCTCTTTATCTCTTATTACAGGAAGCTTGCCAGCAGCAACTGCTCCGTGAGCAGCCTGCTCGCTAAACATACTCGAGCTGCTACCCACAACGGCATCAAATACTACTCGGCCAAACACACGAGATGAATCGCATCCCTCTAACTTCCTTGATATCCCTCGTATTATTCGTTACTGCATCTTCTGTTGTCACTTAAATTAAGCAATTACGCATTGTTTGCGTGATGTCGCTGCAATTGTTCAAGTTATGTTGAATTTCATAGCGTCGAGTCTCAAGTAAATTGTCATTATTTATACTGACTTTCCTTCAGGACATATGACATGGATGGTTGCTTCAACGAAATAAAATTGTTAAAGTCAATCAAACTTCCAAAAATGGAAGTTCTTAATTTGACGAGACGACCTCGAAGAGATTTTGAAGGTTATTCAGTTATGGTGGCTTTTGGAATCATTTACAGATAGCTGGAGCAACAAAGTCATGTTTTTTTAGCAAATACGACTCTATACGAGGGAAATTTACTGTTTTTATATAATTTCCTTCTCAGAATATGAATGTAAAATTCATTGATGGTGTTCATTTGCTTGCTTTGATCTTTAGAAATAATCTGATGACTATCATGATATGTTAGTTACCGTGTAATAGATAGTTAATTTCAAGAAAATTCACGTATGTAGAAATGTTTAATATTTCACGTAATAACGATGTAATTATGAGGACGACGTAATTATTTGGGAGATAGTAAAAATATACGCCCTCGTCCTAAGCAAGTAAAATCAATTTTAGCGAAATGGAAGATACCAAAGATACTTTATTTTCTATTTAACACTTTTCCTCTGTGTGGCAATAACGGCTAGGTTCTACCAATCAGGTAAACGATACAGTTTTCGAATCGAATCACATGTTAGACTTGGATCGTGGGTTTTACTGCCGATTTTGTTTGGTTATACATGACTTATTTTAGCTATGGTTTTACTCACTTTTACAATCACTTATAATTCAACCATTATGCAATTATCTTGCAGCAGACAGCTTGTTTCATCGAATACTGTAGTTATCTTCAAAATACTATTTAGCCTGTTTGAGGAATGTTCATATTGAATTAAAATATACAATATTGGAACTTTGGAAGTATGTATAAACGATCCATACCATATGCGTCTCTTTTTTTCAAAATTGAAGTAGATTTTTATAATTCAATTTTTTAATTTATTAATATATTTTACAAAATTATACACATGAAAAGAGAAGAAAAAAATTAGAAAAGTTCCTTGTTGAGAGCAACTCGAAACTGATAACAACAACAATAACTAGGTACCTACTTGACTTGACTTGTTGCAAGTTAGATGCTTGAGGCCTTTCTCAGAGGCCTGTTTGTCTCTCCGAGACTATACTAACTTTTGTAATATTAGCAAAATTGGGGGGCGGCTGGGTTGCAAAAAAAGTTAGTGTCTAGTTCTGGCATGATGGAGCATAGAGAGCTAGTCTGGAAAAGTCCTATTTTTGTCTGAAATATCGCCGCTCTAATACCATATAATTTCAGTAAGCATGAAATCTTGCGGCTCGAATGTCATAAATTTTTGTTTGATTAAAAATTTGCGGTTTGCACTTCGCAAACATGTCATTTCATAAAATTTTCAACTTCCGCAATCCGCATTGGCCCATGGTGGCAGGGAATTATTGTGAGTACTTATGCGTTTGCAAGAGCATCGACCGGTCCGGCTCAGCGGGGGGGGGTAGGAAGGGAATAACGAAAGTCTCATTTACGACTGGACTAACCCATTGAGCAACATTTTCTCAGTTATGGTCTCATAACAACTCAATTTTAAAATATGTACAGTTTCGAAGTTGATATAAGTAAATAAATAAATATTTGAACTAAAGTGTTTTGAGAGTCATGTGAAGGCAACAGAACTTACGTAACGCATACGGTTTTTTTTATAGTTTTTCATTTCTCGATGCGTCCTCAATGTGTCGGAATATACCGCGTTTACCCTAGCCATGTAGGTATTTATAAACCTCAATCATATTGCCCCTTAGCCAGTGGTGTTCCAAGCATGGTAAATTCAGCGTCTTGAGCCTATCTGTCATAATAATCTGAGTAGGGCTTGTCTTTTACTTTTAGTGATGCCAAGAGTTTTGTTGCTCGCCTCTGGACGTCTTCTATATCACTACATAGAGTCTTGTGTGCTGGTTGGCACACGCAGTGCCCGTACTCAAGAAGTGGGCGTACCAAGCTCTTAAATAGTTGAACAAATGTCTTTTTGGTTAGGTGATCAAAAGTTCTGCAAATGATGCTGACAACTTTGTTTGCCTCTGCTGAGCACTGAGCCGTCTGAGCGACATAGTGATAGTGGCAAACCAGAGCTTTTTTGGAATCAGTTCATTTTTAATTTCCTCAAAAACTCAAGATTTAAACCAATTTCTTAAGTATGATAATGCTGGTATCCATGTATTCCATGATACTTTACTGGTCTACTTATAGGACTCAAAAATGAACTTGAGGGAGAGTCTAAAAAATTCTCTGCTTTGTCACTATGCGAGTGACATGCTCCTTGAAGGATAGCTTATTGTCTATTATCACTCCCATATCCCTCTCCACTTCACCCACCGCTGATTCCAGTCTCTCATCTTGTTTATTCATATAGTAAGAGCCTTTGGACTTCTGCCTGCCTAGTTTGATCACACTACACTTCTGAGGATGAAATTTCAGTACCCACCTATTTGACCACGCCTGCAGATGATCAAGGTCCCTTTGGAGCCTGGAGGTTGTCAATGCCGTCTACTGTGTCTGTTCTTGCAAAGAGTTTCGTGTTGTCTGCAAACATTCTTACGTTGCTACGTACGCCATCTGGTAGATCGTTAATAAACATTACGAACAAAATTGGTCCCAACACAGACCCCTGGGGAATCCAGCTCGTTACATTGGCTAAATTCGGCTTCCTGTTGTGAATCCAAGCAAGTACGTTTCCTCTGATGCCCAATGCTGATACTTTTGCAAGCAATCTTCAATGAGGGACACTATCGAACGCCTTTTGATAATCCATGTATATGATGTATATTACATCCACTGTTCCGCCCTTGTCAACAGTTCTTGACCAAATGTCCATGACGTCTGGTAGTTGGGTCACGCAGGAACGTCTAGGTACAAAGCCATGCTGATGTTTGCTAAGTAGGTTATTCTGCTCCAAGTGTTTCAGGACCTGCTCCCTAACCAGCCTCTCCATTAAACAAGTACAAGTAATTAATAAGTACAAGTACAATTAAATAAGTACAAGTACAATTAAATAAGTTCAACTACTCACTACTTTTGGAGAAACTATAATATCTAGGTTTCCTATGATCCAATTTCAAAGATTTTAGTACCATTAGAGAGCTCTTGTTTCAAACTATATTCTTACAGAAATACCTAAAACATTTTGGTTGATACTTTGAGTTTAGTCTGTAGTTGGCAAACTTGGCTTGGTGGGTTGGGGATGGGGAAATGGGTGTGACTGACATATATATGAATGGTAAAAATTTGCATTTTGCAGAAAGGCAGAATTGAACAGAATGAACTTTAATTTGATAAATGAATTACATCATGGAGTCATGTCTACCAACCTTTCATAAACAATTACTACAAAGAGGCCTGCTTTCCTTGCCAGGAACGCAAGAAGTCCAACAAAACAAAACAGAAGCTCTCAGGCCCAATGGTCCTGGACAGGGTGGAATTCTAAAATGAGTGGTTCACTTGAAAAAAAGCATTCCAGGTAACTAGAAACCAGTTTGTGGGCTGTCAGAAATCAGCCTCGGAAGTCTGCATGAACATTTCTGTCAAACGGGGTAAAGAGGGACGGCTTTGAGCGTTTATTGTTAATAACTTCTTACCACAAAATATTTCATAAACAAGTTTGGGCTCATTTTAAAGGTCTTTGTAAGGGCTATTGTTTGGATCTCTAAAAAATTCCATATGCTATTTGTAAGGTGCTAGACACAATATAAAAGGCTCCAGAATTAATCTGGAAATGGGGTAAAAAGGGCCACTTGAAATAAAATTCAATTTTAAACATTTGAAGCATGCAGAGTGTACTCATCTATTATTAACAGTACTCTGAAGTCCTCCTCTTCCTTTGTAGATGATGTAAATGTAGAATAAATGAAATTTTCTGTGATTTTTACTTGGTTTTTCTTCATTGATATATTACCTTATCCATGCATTACCGTATTAATAATGTGATATTACTGTATCCATAGACATGCCATTGAGCATTGACAATGACCTTGTCCACCATGGTCAGGAAGTTGTGCCAGGTGCGTGGGAATTTAAATTGTCTTTTAACAAACCTGCGCGCTGCGCTGTACTATGCTGGTAAAAAAATTTGCCATGCACTGTACTCCAACAAGGCTAAAATAGTTTAAATATGGATGCGCAACAACGCTATCAGTCTATCACACACCGTACACACAAATGTATATCCGCATTGTGCTGCGGTTGGATATAAAGATTCTTTCATAGATCATAATTCAAGCAAATAGTAACCACAGAAATAAAGAAGGTGACATCACTTGAGATGTGCCATTGGTGCCTTCTAATGATTGACTGGTTGCTGCAAGTAGGGTTCAAACCTGTATGACAACGTCAGGACTACTTTCCCGACATCCTCCCGGCTGGCAAAATAGACACGATCAATACCTAATAACAATGTGCGTAAATGGACTATACAAATTAGTTCAATATGGCATAATTACAGAGCGTTATTAAACAATGTGATACAAAATATGAATATATATATTTGCAAGATAAGTCAATGGTCTATCATTTATTTTTGCTTCATTTGAGCAATTATGGTTTCCAAATCTAGGTGCGCTATGTTATGTCATGTATAGTTCAAATGTGCAAAATTATAACTATCATATGATAATTGTTACGTTGGTTATCATAACACTTATCGCAATAGAGTATCAAGATTGCAGTTCTGCCACCACCCTTCATTGAATTATCCTGCCTTTTTTCTAAGATTCAACAATCTCTCTTCCAGCAAAGTTTGTGAAATTCATTAGCTGCATAGATTACTCTCTGCTATGGTGTTCAAGTTCTGGTTGACATGACATCCATTTGCTTGTTTGATGCTAATTGTATAAAGGTTGCTTCAGATAAATTAATCATTGCCATTCCCATGTTCCACCCTCAATTTAATGTACCAAATGATATTGAATGGCATTATTCATACAAACCTGTATCTATTAAACTTTTACATTTAACACTTTGATTACTTATTGGTACATATGCGTACCACGAAATGTATTTCTCCAGGTGGTAGTGGTACATAATTCACTGCCTAAAATCGGCCAAATCCAAGAACAAAAAAGGTGATAATTCAATGTATACTAGTTTAGTAGGTTCCACTATAAAAATTCCATTTATTTTCTTTTTGCAGTATTTAAAATTTAATTAGGAAGTACCCTTATCATAAATTTTAGCCAGCCAATGCAATTGAGAAAAACTAAATCACGGAATTTGTCCGAAAAAAATGACCATCTGGCAATCATGCTTAAAAAAAGTAGAAAAAATGAAATAATTGTGCAAGATGAAGCAATCGTAGTCTACGTGTTAAGATCTGATGGAAGCGGCGAGCGTCCCTAACAACATGAGGATGTATATAAAAACATTAATGATCTAGAAGCGGGCTTCACAAAAAATAATTTCAACATGGCTATAATTAAATAAGGATCATTACTTGTAGTTTAATAAACATGAAGTCTCCCTATTAAAAAGTTGAATTTTGTTGGTCATCAAAGTTTATATCAACTACGCGAGTGGAACTAACAATAGGTAATAAAATGTAAGACATGTCTGGGTTACTTCTTACTCTTCCGCTTGTTGGATACGGAATGTATGGTAATCGTAAACTGTGGCTATTATACATAAGAAATGTAAACAGATGGTGTTCAGTGTTGCCATATTGTTGGGGGACTATTACTTATTAAACTGACGTCTCACCAACACATAGCACGTGATCGATCTTCAAGACTTTAACAAACCTTTCAAGGCCAAGGATTTTCAATAAATAAACAGTTGCAAGAAAATGGCCACCATTTTTCCTTGGAATGAGATATGCAAATTCTATCAATCACGTTTTTAAGCCAACACTAGTGTGCAACTTTTATGTAGGTGAAATTTTTCAATACAACAAATATTTTTTCTGCTACTGTAAAAGGGGGTAACTTAGACTCACAGGGTAACTTAGACCACTTATAGTTTTTTTAACAAAAACGCCCAAAACTCAAAAACTATTTGACATAGAAAATTTTTGTCAATGGGCATTAAAGGCCTAATACTGAGGCTATGTAACACAATAGAAAGATAAAAAAATTATGCATATCTAATAGGTTAAAAAATGAAAAATGTGACCCACAAAAAAGTGGTATTATTTAAAGTCTGTCATAGAATCCCCTCCAATTTTTCAATTTTTTTTGGTAAAATAACTCCAAGTTTTGGTGCATTGTAGTAGAACTCTTCTAGTTACATATGCAAATGACAAATTTGAGGAAAGTGTGAGGAAATTATGCTTAAATGATAAATAAGTTGTAATAAATTACAAATGAAAAAGTAAATGATAATTGAATGATGAATGAATGACTTATGAATGAATGATGCAGTTTGGTTCATTGATGTATTTATAATATGATAGGTAAATGATGGGAAAATAATGAAAAATGGTGGTTAAAATAATGGAAAAATGCTGAGAAAAAAAACAATGGGAAAATGATTGGAAAACATTAGGTAAATGATGAAACTAAATGATAATGATAAATAACAATACTGATAATTTCTAACACTAATAAATTCTAACTAATAATACTAATAAATTTTAACTAATGATAATAATAAATTATTATAACAAATTAATAATACATGTACTAGTAGGACTGCATCACCAAACACCATTGGGCATTGCAGCTGCAAGTGCAGGCTGCCATCCTTATTCTACTGTAGCAGTGTTACCTAGCCCCAGCCCCCAAGGCTAGGGCTAGGCTGACTAGCACCCACTCTCAGGAAGATATATGTTTTTTGGGAATATTCCTGGGCAAAATGGGGTTCCTAAAACCAATGATCCAAGCATTTTGCACAGAAATATCTCAATACCGCGCAGGATTGCTCAAAACAGCGCAGTTTGCAGTAGCAGATGGCCGCACAGAGCGGGTGGCAGCAGCCGGCACTGAATGCAGCAACGGTCTTCAATATGCATACCTGCACGGCTGTGAGTCACACAGATACAATCCTGTGATTGCACTGCCACCATTGTTCATAACCCAGCATTGAATGTGTGCATTATCACAACATGGATTGAACTATATATGGTTATTAATATGCTACATACATTGCTGCCATGCGGCATGGTGGTATTGTTGTTGCCACACACCTACCTATATTTAAATTATAACTAGTAACGGCACACAGCAAATTTTTTTGGCAAATTACTGCGCACCACGCAGATTGAAAATTGAAGACATGAATTCCCACACACCTGGCACATTTTCCTGCTTTTGGACTAGCACTTGACAAATTTCACTAGCAAGTAGATCAGGGGCTAGGTGCTAGTAAACAATTTCAAGTAAAGATATCTTCCTAACTCTAAGATTGTCTAAGATTGTCCTGGTCAATCAATTATATGCAATAAACTCCCAAACTTTGAAATATGAACCAATTACCAAAACAATAGCAGTGTACCTCACAGCTGAAGAACATAGAAATGCAGTACTGTCATGCATATCTGGGTTTCCAGAAATTACTGTCAGAGAAGCGGCAGAGCTCTGAAATTTTGAGAGCATGCTCTAAAAACTAATATTGCTATTCTATTATCTTTCATTACTGACCCAATATGAGTTCAAAATTTATTTCTAGCACTAAGTGATACGCATCTCTGAACCAATTTAGTTTTGGATTGAAGTACACAAATTCCTGCAATAAGTTTCAAAGCCAACTGCTGTTTGCAAATTTTCAAGCAAAATTTTTTAAAACCTCATTTATTTATTTTACCACAGACCTTAGCAAAAGTACTATTTTTTCAAATATAATTTGTTAACTTTTTTTTTTTTTTCGGGGAATTTTTAGAGCTATTAGATGAATGATTTCTTAATTTCCTATATGCTACATAGTTAGGCGAAATGTTGAAGTTTATGACACTATTTTTAGTTTATCAAAATTCCAGTTAGTTTTGCTGCTATATAATTTTCATGACATGATAGACTGTCCTGATTTACCCCTGCGAGTCACTTATTACCATGTTTTACTTTAGTATCATATTGAGAATATACGTATTTTTTGTACACTTGTTGTACCGTAGTATGCCAATATTGTAATAAAATTGTAAAATCATTTATTGTTTATTTAATTATTCTATTCATTTCCCTACTTAGAATCTTTACATGATTGATGAATGATTCACTTAATGAGAGGCCAGGTTCAATGTCTGAGTGGAGAAGTTATATATATACATCTATATTACTTGAACAATCCTTGCTAAACTCTTGCATCGATGCTTCAGTTTTTTGCGTCATTCTTCTGACCAACTAATTATTTCAAGGGAAAAAATGAGTGATCTCAATAATGACAGTCAAAGCAAGGTCTATTCTACACTGGTGGAAGATCAATTGCAACAATTGCGCCAGGAAGATCCAACGCAGTACAATACTCTGGTCAAAATGCACCTGTCTTTTACTACTGATCTACCTACCATATGGTGAGTGTCTTGCTAGTATTTTGGGTTGAAATATGTAAGATGTTATTATGAAAATTTGATTCTTGGTAACTTGAGTTTATTGATTCCACACCTCAACCTTCCTTTATTATTATTTTTTTGGGGGGGATATTAAATTCTTTTTAGCCCACTTTCTCATTTGTGGAAAAAAGGCACTATTGTGCTCGTCATGTCCTTCAGTCCGTGACATCTGTCCATCCGTGTTGGAGGGACATGAGAAAATACACTATCACTAACTGTAGTGAGTACTGATCTAATTTTTTTATCTGCTGGATTGTTTGGAATTGGATCACATGATGTTGTAGATAGCTACCAGGAATGTAATTTGTGATAGGTATCTAATGATTAATAATAATTATTAATACACTATGTTTTAACTGAACCATTTCCTTGTTCCCAGTGACAGCATTGATGGTCAAAGAAGTGTTGGCAGCAGTGGCTGGAGGCAGCTGGCACCCTTGGCTCGGTGGCTCAGTGGAGGCAAGAAGCAGCTGCCTAATGATGAAGCCCTAGAACTTGTGCATCTCTCTCCTGAACTGCTTCAACATTTTATTTTCATCATTGACTTCCTTGGATCACCAGATAGTGAGTGACTGATATTGTTTTTGCTAATTTGTTGGCTTATCTATCTATGTAGGTATTACCATACCTCAAACTTTGTCAATAGGTACTATTTGTGTCTAAATGGTTTGGTAAATAATTCCTATTGTGAGAATTAGAATGGATAATATTTGAACCTAGATTAACATCTCTCCTGTCATTTCAATAAGGCGGTGTGCTAGATTGTTGAGATTTCTAATCCAATTAGAATGCATGACCTGAAGGCTGTGAGGTTTCAATGAAAATTTTCAATTCTCCTAAGTGTTAGTAATTAAAAGTGGATTATTACATGCAAACTAGTTGATAAATTCAAGATAAACATTGGGTTTTTCTCTGATGATGATCAAATTTGTATCTGAAGTGAAATTTTATCTGGATTCATGACATGTGATGGTTTCTACTGTCTAGCATGTTTAACTTGATGAATTTTAAATAAAAAATTTATTTTCATTTCTTAACAAGTTGACATTATCACTGCTGAGCACTTTCTGTGACTAACAGTTTCTGAATAGGTTGCATGGCCTCAAGAAAATTCAGGTCCAGCTAATTGAATCTTGGGTAAACTGGTGCACATCATTGCCATTATGAAAATGTAGTTTAATTAACATCAATATATAGAGCCAGCATAAAAATTCAGTTTTTTTCTCAAAGCTTTTGAAAAAATTGGCTTAGCACTATGAAATTTGTACCAAAACTTGAGACTTATACTATTATCAATGCTCAAAAATTATTAAGTTTGTATTGATAAATTTTTTTAACAAAAAAGCTAAATTATACAAAATTAAAAAAAAATGTTTGTTGAATTAACACCAAAAAATTTGTAAAGTTCATTTCTCTTGCAATGATGACAAAGGTTGCTGAAACAGCACCTAATAATTTAGATGAAATTGCAAAACTTTCTTAGTTTATTTTAACATGAAGGAGGTATCAGGTGCTCATTTTTTTTACTTCCATGTCATTATGATAGGTCCTGAATGACTGTAGAGCAAGTTATGGGACCTAGTGTCATAAATAAAAATGTTTGATGTGTGTTGCTTTTGCAACTCAAATCAGCATGGGTTGTTTTTAGAGACTGGCTCTAATATATATCTGTACCTACTGGATATATGCTCTATTTAAGCTGTAATGAGTGCTGGTACCAAGTTATTAATAAAATTTGTTTGCAGATGTTAGAACAGAGGGAATTTTCCGCAAATGTGGCAGCAGTTCAAGACAGTTGGAACTCAGGAATCACATCTCAAAAAGCATGTCTACCATGTCAAATGAGAATGGTTGTGATGCTGCGTTTTTACTGTCTGTGTTGTCATCATACAGCACCCACGATGTTGCTTCGCTTCTGAAATCTATGTTGGCTGATCTGCCTGAACCCCTACTGCTAGATCATAACTTCATCTTACACTGCAAGCTGGCTGGTAAGTATAATGGTCTGTTTTTTTTATCAAAAAATAACCCAAAAAATATTGATACACTTGGGCAAAAAAAAAATTATTAATACACTTGACATATCATACTCATGAGTGATACTGTCCTGCTTACTATATATCTTTTCTACATTACTTAGCAATGCTTATTTAGATCGCCCCGTTTACTGTACTAGAGATTTTTGTTAACAAAGGATGTGAACTGAAATTCTCCATGTAAACATTAATGTAGCAGTGTGTCGTTGCAACCCTCTCTCTGTACTATTTTTGCTGTAACCTATTTCATACAATAACATTACAATAATAAATGCTCCAAGTATAGCCTGAGACACTATGGTCACAACACGACTGAATTAAAGCAACTGCCGGTCAATAATAAAATTTTAACAATGAAGTCAACCTTTAATTATTTAAATTCCTATAACCTAATCAAGCTACTGCGTGTGACCAACCTGCACATCGAAAACTGGTGTAAAAATATAACTCAGTAGGTACTCACTGTAGTGAGTGACAGAGAGCTCATTTTCTCGTCGACAAAAACTTGAGGTCACGGACGGACGGACAGATAGACAGACGGACATGGCGAGCACAATATGGCATAGACAGACGGACATGGCGAGCACAATAGGGCATTTTTTCCGTAAATGAGAAAATGCGCTAAAAATAATAACATCCTTCTTTGGTTTTCTCAACCTTTATAGATGTAAGTTCAGAAGACAGCAGCATCGGCTCATCTCATTATCATAGACGCATCAAAGCCCTGCAGCTGCTATTGTTGCTGCTGCCACCGTGCAACTTCCAGCTGCTTAAAGCCTTGCTGTTCCTGCTGCACAACATTGCCTTGCATCACCTACACAATAGGATGAGTGCGTGCAACCTTGGCATGGTGTTTGCTCCCCACATCATGTGTCCCAGAAAAGTGAGTCTCCTACTAATTGAGTGATCCCAAATTGAAAATATTTGGACCATATTTGTATTGTCATTGATCCTGTTATCCTGTTTGAGAGAATATATCTTTTTCATTATTGAACAATTGCTTCTTAATGCCAAAGTGGCTGCTTATCATTTTCTTTACTATTGACTAATTTTTTTAATGCTCAAGTGCAAGCTTGTTATTTTTTTATCTTTGATAATTTTTTTTTGTAGTGCTCAATTTGCAGCTCCTTAGAGAAACTCATGTCTTATGTTTCACTTCCTTCAAATGTTTTCAGTTTTTCAGTACCTATATCTACGTTTTCATCATAGGTACCTAGTTTTCATCTACTTTATATATCATAGGTTTCATCTATGTTTAATCAGGTATAAACTATTTTTGTAATATTGCACTTATATTATGGTAAAATTAATCCCTAAGGAAACTTCTTGATATATGATTCCTGAATTTACTGGCTTGGTTTTTATAGTTACGTTTTGCATAGATGAAAGATATTGGAGAAAAAATTATTTTCCTCATAATGTCGGCGACTACAATAATTGTGCAATTTTTACCTCAGATGACTGGCACTGACCTTCAGACCCACTCCAGTGTAGCTGGCACAGCAGTTGCGTTTATGGTTCGCCATGCAACTAAGCTTTTCCAGGTTGGTTTCTCAGTCCTGGAACTTTTGATGCATTCCATCAGGATGGAATTAATATTCACCAACAGAGGTTCATTTGTTAACAGCTCCGTACAAGTGACTCCAGCACAAAATATTCCACCTTCATGTCGCAACAAGGAAGGAAGACCCACACAACACTTTAAATTGGATTTTTTTATACAAATTGCTAAGTGCACAAGCTCTAATATTCAACTCAAGAATACCAACCTGTTTCCCCAAGTGTTCTTATATGAGAACTAAGATGTTATTATATCTGGTGAACTTCATTATTCTAATCTAAAATTTCAGTGCTTTGAAAAAGTTAAAAAACAGAGATTCTCCACCAATAGAAATGCCTAGATATCTCACTGAAAATCGATACTTCTGCTCGTTCAACATTGTTTAAAGAATATTTATTGAGCATTTATTGCCGTTTTTGAATCATAGTAATATATGCCCTTAATAGGATTAACTTAGAATTGCTTATCTGGTTCTTGTACTGAAACTTTCGGGAGGCAATTATTGTAAACCTTTATTTCATTACTTGAATCAGAACTTTTTCTTGTTCAACACTTTAAATCATATTTGTTCATCATTTTTAGCCTGTTTTAAATCGTAGTATAACGATACATGCCCTTGTTAGGAGTAACTCATAATTGCTTATCTGGTTCTGGTACTGAGACTTTCGAGAAGCAATTATTGTAAACCCTTATTTCAGCACCTTATTAACCGGTACCTTGTATAATAATATCGAATTTCCAAACTTAAGTATCTACTCTCATTGCTGATTGCACTTTATTTTCAGTCATTGTGTTAAGTGTTTTTTTTTTCTGGACAGGTGCCGATTGAGCTGGAATGTGACGTGAAGCAGTATTGGATCAACAGGAGTGAGGCCGCCGCCCTCCGCCACTCTCTGTGCTTGCAGCACGATGCATCCCTTGCAGGCAATTCATCTATTAGCTGACTATGTTGCCTCCATTATTTTGTAAATTTGTATTCTTATTCTTTTTTATTCTCTTGTAAATTTGTAAAAAATTTTCTTCCAGAATTTTTCAACTTTTTAGCAATTTTCTCTAGAAAATACTTCTATAATTAGTTTGCTTAAATCGCAAGTAACTATTGAAATTGAAAGCAAAGGAAACTTCAGGTTAATTCACCATATGTTCATGAAGAAGGGTATCAATGATAATATGGTGAATTCACTTGAATTCACTATTTCTTAGATTTTAAATTCTTCTCATAGCTTATGGTTGAAAACAATGCCTATTTATCATTTTTTGCAGATTTTCACCTTTCAGCTGGCTATACTTTCTGCTTTAGTTCTTTAGTCTTTGATTATTTTTTCATTTCTCATTTCACGATCTCCAGCCACTCTTTTAACAGTTGCCATATAATTATTACGTGCATCAAGTCAGTTATTTATCCAATAACAACTGTTGGTTTGTTTAAAAGTTCTGAGTCCATTATTCATTTCAGAACAAACGTCAGTTAGTTTTGGCCTCATGCTCTGAGCAGTTATTTGGTGTATAATAACTATTTATTTATTTCAGAGTCATAAAGTCCATTATTCGTCCCATAACAACTGCTGGTTTGTTCCAGACTCGTGCCCTGACCACGACCCCACTCTGGCCAACACAGTGTTCAGTTTTGTTGACCGCGCGCAGACTGAGGCGGCGAGCGCTAGGGAGACCACAGCGCTCGCCCTCGCTGAACTCTACGCACACGTCAGCAACTTGCCGGACTCTGATAAGAAGCGCAAGCTCGTGCGCCAGTTCAACACGGCTAGTGGATACGGCACTCCAAAGTACCAACATGGCAGCAGAGCTAAAGCCTTTGCTCATTCCATTAAAGTAAGGACAATGAGGCATTGCAAGGATTTATATAATCCTTGTCTTGCTGAATAATGTTACAAGGATATTACTGTACGTATTGAGTGTAGTTATTCCACCCAACAAAAATGTCAACACAGCAGCTGAACTAAAGACTTTGCGCAATTAAAGTAAGGGCAAGGAGGAAAAGGACTCAATCGGATTCATTTAACCTTGGTCAGAATGCATAATATTACAATAAAAATATAATCGAACCAAGCGTTGGTACAGTGGTACCTATTCAGCCCGACAATAGTTGAAATATGCTTATTTGCCACTTTCGAGGCATTTTAAATGGCGGGTCCTCGAAAACTATATAATAACACGAGATTAGCAGCCGTTTTTTAATTTGAATGAATTTATCTAGCTGCATTGCTAATGACTATGCGTGCCGGCAAACAATAACATCCTAATATATTTTTATGCCGAACTAAGCGGTGATTTGGTGAAAATTCAGTCCAATACCAATGAAAATAGGTTGTGGGTGACCTTGTGTTGAAGCGGTTTCCTTTTCAGTTGTAACTAAATTATTTGAGAATGATTTCAGTGCAGTATCCTTTGAAAGATGAAAGTTATTGATGAAACCATATTTTTATTTCTTTTACTCTACTTTTTACATAACCTTCAGGTAGCCGTTAGAATCTTCCTGTCTTGAATCAGCAAATTGTTCTGCTAACAAAACTTTCAGCTTAATTATTTGTATAAGTGTTAATTTTTTACCTTCTTGAACCTATGAATTTTTTGGCAGACAAATCCTGTGACCAATTATTTGTTCAAGTGTGAATTTTGTGGTAAATGAAAGTGTCTCTGCAGAAACACCTTTTGAGAGGCGGCAGCAGACGCGAGCCTCTGAATAGCAGCGCTTCGTTGCAAAACCACGACTGGCAGGTGGGTGCTCTTCTATGCCTGTTTTGTTCCTTTGTTTTATACCATAATGATAATAATAATTATTATAATGATAATATAATACTTGGAAAAAGTATGGGTCATAATGTCCAATTAGTGACATAATTTCTTCACGGAGCACTGATATGCTCTAATGACGGGCTAAACTGAGTCAGAATTACTTGTACATGAGCAAATAATGAGTGTATTGCTATTTGGTAAAGGTCTTGCTAATTTCTCTAAGTTTATGTGCTAATGATGAGTTACCAAGGCTTGTCAAGACTAAGTTATGGCAGTTGAATTGCTTAATTTAATACGGTAAAAATATGATGCGATATTGATGAAATTTTATTTGATCATGACGACTTATTATTCCTTATGAAAACCAAGTTAAAGGCATTTAATAAATAAATGCTGTGATTTAAAAACTTATTGCAAGTGTTACAATTGTCAGTACCTACGGTGTAGGTACCCTGGTATGTCTCAATAAGCAATTTGTCTCGGTAATAAATGCTGTTTTTATTTCTATTTAAATGTATATTTAACTGTAAACTGGGTTTGCCAGTTCACAACAGAACACCTGAGCAGCAGTGTAAAAACGTTGATGCATATTGCAGTTGTAAAAAGATAGACCATATATACTAAAAGCATTACGTAAAGTGCCTGAGATATTTTTATGTTTTATGTGTCTCTACCTTCATGACGTCTTGCATTTGTGATCGTTCTAACCTGCGTGTTCACCGTTTTTTTTCTTTCATCCCCATGGTTGCTGTCATCCCCATGCTGGCATCGTCCCTTGCCTAACACAACGACGTGTGCCTCACGCTGTATCGTCCCTTGCCTAACACAACGGCTTGTGCCTCTAACTGTTACGCACTCTCATTGTACCATCAATGCGACGTCTTCTTCCTTGCATGTTTTGTGTGATTTGGTTTGGGCTGATCCACCATGACGTTCCTATTACCCATTATTTTGCTTTAAAACACACTTTCATCATTGTTATCAACAAATTTATTTCTATTTATTGTGGTTTGCTTTGGTTTAAATAATAATGGATCTGGATCGGTGTCTGTACATAAAAATTGGGTTCATTATGAACAATTAAAAATTAACGATTCATTATTTGGGATCTGGTTTCATCATCCAATTAACTTATTTCAATACGGTACAATAGAAATCTGGATCATACAGTCCCATGACCGCGTTAGAACACTCCAAATTACACAACTCGTCACCCATTTTCTCTCCGAGTGTCGCCAGCATGAAAGTGAATGTGAATGGCCGACACCCCATCAACAATGCATCTATTGCCACTACGCTCACCACTCCTAATCTGTGTGCGACTCCAAAGACCGTACAGCAGCAAGCTAGAGCCAAAAGTTGGGACAACCTCGCTACACCAAAGAACTTGCGCAAATGTCTTTTTCCATCGTCACCCTCGCCTTTCCTTAAAAAGACGAACCTTGGCATCAGTAAATCAGCGCGAGGCAAGCCAAATTTTGCTGTCGCTAAAGATGGAATTGGTGTTGCAAATGGCCGTGATAGAGGCGTCGTCTCCAGTGGTGGGAAGAATGTAAAAAATCTTGGCGATTGTCATGGATCTTTTGGAAATTATGAAGCCACAATTAGTGATAGTAAGTCGCCAAGCAGTTGCAGCAATGCTGGAAGAACACTGCCACGTAAATGGAATTTCGTTCATGTGCCGGATGAACCGTATGCTTCGAGAGATTTTCACTTGAAAAAAGATTCATTGAAAAGAATTGCCCAACAAGGCCTCGCCAATGCTAGCTCGGTACAGGATTGCTACAGAGATTTAGAGTGTCGTGTGGCAGTGGAAGATGGAAATGCATCTCATGACAACGTCAGTGTTCAGCGTCCAAAAACTAACTTGAAAGAAGATTATCGGTCCATCAAACAATGTGACCTTCAAGACTCAAGAAATGAGGAGAGTGTTGCTCGTCTTGCGAAGAATTTCTTGGATGCTGATGAAGCTCCTCCTTATATTATTTCCATTACTGACGGTTGTGAAGAAGAGTCATCGTCCATTGCCTGCGAAATTCCCGATGAAATTCCTTGTTGTCTTAATAAACCATCTATCATAGCTTCAGACGAGAGAAATGTTGACTCTCTGAATATAGCGTCTTCAAATGCATCCCCTGATACTAATCATTGCATCGAAGCCGTTAATTCTGCCTCTGCTGATTCCCTGACTGATGGTTCAGCTATTGAAAAGAAACAGATGCTGTCGACCTCAGGATCCCTCACCATTTCTTCTGGCCGCTCAACGAACTCAACTTCTGAATCGAGTATATCAGCTCTAGGAATTGATTCGCTTGCTGAGACTGAAATTGATGCTGGGGTTTCTCGCAAAACCGAGTCAGAAAGTGAGCTTGTCCTTGCGGCATCAGTCACCCAAGAAGATGAATTTTCTACTTCACGAGATAAAACGAAATCTTCCACCAGCAGCCCCAATGAACATTGTTATTTCTACCCCGATGGGAACTTGCCATGCAATGACATGCCTCCAGCCACAGATGAACCTTCAGACTCGCCACAAGCGCTAGTTGACGGGAAATCTATGTTCCCTGACGGATCCACTCCAACAATTTTTTGTGCTCCGAGTAACTCCAAAACATACGAGGCTGTACAAGCTGCTGCTGCTGCCACGTCCGGCTCACCAGGCTCCCCTCTCACCAACGCTATGCTCACTGACAACATCACTCAGGTAACCTTCATGCTGCTCTTGTTGCTGATCTTCGCTTCAATCGTGATTTACCAGGCTTCATTTGACACGTGTTCACTCTCGTCCATGTTTTTCATCGATGTGCGATAATGGACGGGTTATATTTGCGTATGAAATATTCTATTCTACCAGAAACAGACTAGTTTTTACGCTATGTCATGCTACTAATTGTTAATTTTTTTGAATTTGTATTAACAATTGCTTTCTTTTATCAGCTTTCATTTCATGCATTAATGCGCTTCCCAATTGCATTCAGCTTTTGCCATCTTTTATAACCAGTTATTGTTCATACTAATAATCTTTCCTCCTCTGTTACTCTTTTTTATAGTAATATATGCAAAGTTTAAATATGACTGTAAAACACCATATATTTATTATCTCGAGCAAATTTACAATAGGTATATTTTTGTGCTCTCTTAGAGATAGCAACGGGATGTTCTAAATTCCTTGTGCTATGCTTAAGTGAATGTTGTGTACAATTCAGGCACTGGTGCTGACACCCCGCAGCCGCTGCCCCATCGTGTCTACCAAGAACAGCCGCGGAAACACAAGCAGTTCTTCACTTACCGCCCTCGCTCTTCATAATTCTGTGACTCGCAGAACAAACAAAGCTGAGTTTAAGAACTGCGCCACCTCTTCGAAAGTTGAAAAACGAGGAATGAATGTTGAGTGTGCTGGAACCGCTAATCTTCTGGGGAATTTCTCGAATCTTAATGGAAAAGAAACGAAGGAAACAGACGACTCTTGTGCCATAGGCAAAATGGTTTCATCTTCCGACTTCAATAAAACGGCGAAGTTATTGGGAACTACCGATAGCCTCAAACCAAATAAGCGAAACTTGTCTCATCTCAGCCTTCCTGAGTGTTCCACAGAGAACGACATGGAGACTGTATGCTTCAAGCCCCACGCAAGCGAAACTCCCCAGAAAATTCGCACCACTCTCTCAGTTGACGTATCTGACAAAGGTGAAAATGGACCAAGAGGTAGACCTCTAATTAGAAGGAAATCAACTTTTAAAAGAAAGAATAAGAGTGACTCACAAATTCTGGAGTCTAGCGATGTGAAAACAGACTGCATGAAACCCACAGGAAGTAAAAATGTTTCTCAGTTAGGAAAGTCAATGCGGCGTAGCTTGTCTCGTCGTCTTAGCAAACGGCGCTCTGGTAAAATGGGAGCTGCTGACAAGGCAGAAAATAATGGAGCGCAAAGTTCCAGCATCTCTCCAGATGTTGGGTCACGCGAGAATATTTCTACTCATGATCTAATTTCCAAGCCAAACGCTGAATTGGACCTGCTTGCAAGTAACACAACTACCGATGCATGTATTTCATCATCAGTTGACCGCAGCGTAAAGTCACCTCCTCCCAGCCCTTTTAGTTTCTCCCCGTCTGGCACATCTTTAGATCTTCGATATTCATCAAGCACGTCTGCTGCTCTAGGTCAGTTTTTCCGCCATCTCAGTAGTTCATCTCTTGCTCAAATAGCCCGTCGGTTGAAGACTAATAACGATCCTTTACTCGATCCTACCTACAGAAGCCTCACTCCTATCCTGTCAGACACATCAAATTCATCTTTCGTCTCGATGGCCCAATCTCCGATCAATGAATTGGATGAAAGTTTAACTCTAGTATTCCGTGAATATTTGGAGACGAGAAGTATTCTCGCGTCTGCAAATAACAGCGAACTCGATTTACACGCAGAATGCTCACCGTGCGTCCAAAGACCTTCGTCTTGCTGTGATCACATCTCTATTACTACCGTAGAACAGGAAGAAAAATGTCGTAGCGTTCCCGTCTTGGAGTCTGGTTTGTGTTTTACAACTGACATTTCTTACGACCCAACTACTCCGTATGTTGGTAGTAGCGGTGAAATCAGGAGCCAGTCGTGTGATGCCATAAACATTCTTCACCCGTTCAATCGTTCCTTGCTAAGTCCAATAGTTCCGGCGCATTCACCTCAACATTCACGCTTCTCGTCCCTTGATTCGGCAGATCCGTTACAATCCTCCCGCAGTGATGACAGGGTGCGAAGCGATTCGCTACTCGAAATAGACAATAAATGTAAATCCGGACGGAGTAGTTGCATCAGATGCAATGTTAACGAATTAAATGGTTGCAAAATCACCCTTGTCGATAATGAAAGACCTCTCGACAATAGCGTCGGGAGCGAAAAATTTCATAGTGGCGAGTCAGATGTACCTGGCTGTCAACTTCAAGAAAACGTGTTAAGTAGTTCGGATGACACATTTCATTCAACAGACGGTGAATTTTCCGATTCATTACTTCGATGTCTTGATGGACAAAACCCACTGAGTATTTCATACGATGCCACGAATGACTCCAGTATCCATTTAGAAGAGAATCCTTCACCGCCAAAGATGAGAGTCAATTTCGTCAGAAATCCTGCTCATTCTCGTTTGAGTTATCGGAGTGCAGTTGATCTTGGCTCTTTACTCATATCTGACCATGTAAAATTACTGGCTCCTTTATTGGAGAAAGACAGCCCTCCCCAAGCCTGTTCCTCTGGGAAAGAGAATTTGCGGCCATCTTCCAATACGAACAGCGACAACTGCTCTGGACCTGCGATGGAATTTCCAGACCGAATTCCTTTAGGCGATGAAAATGCTTTGCAAAAAATCAGTCCGAAAACTTTGCAAAGTTATCAAGTCAATTATGTGTCGGAAACGCAAAATAAAAACATTAATCAGAAAGTAGGGGATTTGACGGGGTGTTTTGAAGTTGAAACTAAAGTGTGTTTGGGTACTTGTGAAGCGGAAGACACGAGTGATAAGTTGGCGCTTGCTCCAAATGCTGTTACACCGACATATGACCAATCCCAAAGATCGTCATCGAACAATGCATATGACCAATCCCAAAGATCGTCATCGAACAAAGCTAAAGCAAAAATAAAGGTCGTGCCAGACCCCGCATCCTGCTCTCCGATCGGACGCAGTACCAGCGGTCTGCGCACGAAACAGGGTACACCAAAACCAATGGCAAGTACAGCGACTCCAGCCACTGTACACTTCGAGACCAAATTGTGAGTATTAATTTGTGCGTTCTCCTCAGAATGGGTTTAATAGGGTCAGCAAGTGTTTTCAATTCCATTCGAGGAGTAAATTGTGAATTGATGGGATTAGTGGTGTCTCGTTCTGCATGACGCGATTCGTTTTTAAACTCGCTAAGACATGAAAGAGACTGAAACGACTGGGAGGTACTGAAAACATGGACTACATCGTCTGCTAAATATTATGCGTGATCAATGCTGAGGCTGTTTTTAATCTGTAGTTAGATACTGACTCCGCTGGTATATTATCAGACGGATGTTATTACATGTACGTCATGGAATAACGACCAAAATAATCGAAAAGACGGCATTCTTTCTGCTATTGTTTTATCCTCTGTTTTAGTTTAATTTTTCTAGTTTTAATTTGAGTATGCACTCTTAATTGTACAGCTGGACGCAGATTGTATCATAGTGGGTGGTACAGAGGGATAGATTTTAGATGCATCTAATACGCGAGCTCATCAGATTCGTTTACTTGTTTAGAACTTGGAATTCATGTCATGGAGGAAATTAGGTTGTGTAGAAACGACATATCGGAAGCAACTTGTGGAGCAGGTCATGAAAATATAACCGACTGAAAAACAATTTTTTTCTTGAACATGTTTATTTTAAGGTTTCTTCACTGAAATTTTAGATAATTGCAGGAGCTATTGAAGTTAGATTAAAGTGTAACTATGACGTGCAATGCTAACTAACTATTGAAAAACGTGCTGCTCACACACGATTTAGAAATTCAGTAAATTGAACAAAATTTCTATTGATATTTATCGTTTCTTGAATATATTTTTAACGTTTAAGGATTCATTTTGTACCTATTTCCATTTAATTTTTAATAAGAATTTTATACATTTTTGTGCCTAACATGAGTGAAATAATTATGTGGCGCTTAATTACAAACTTAACTTGAGATACGGTACGTCGCCTTTGCAAATTTCATCTTATTATCATAGCTATGTTTTACTAAGGGGAGTACATAGCGAATTATTGTTTATTGGCTGAACAGGGCCAGTTAAATGGTGAGATATGTGCAACTCGGCACATAGAAATGTTCTTCGCTGAAGCCGTTGACGCTAACCCCATGAAAGGAGTAATGAATTTAAATTTACATCGGCTTTTTCCATGATGAAAATCAATGCATAGTTTCAAGTTATTTTTGCATGTAATATGCTAAGGAATAAAAATAACGTTTATACTGCATTGTTTAATTGGACACCCATCACGCGAGTGTATTAAATAATTCGAAATTATTTCCTGAACTTCGTCTATTAAATGGAATAAAACTTGCAGGAAAAAAACGAGTGATAGACATAAAACGGTATATGAGGAATAAATAATTGAGTCACCCATACAAATGATAAATGGTCTGATACCAGACAAAACCTTATCGCGTATTTTTCACCATTAATACGTATATGTAAAAAAATATCTATTCTTTACTAAACCAATATATGTTTCAACTAGAGCTTCAACATATTTTAGTACATTTTTAATGTTATTTTTCATGTGTAACCATTTTGCGTTCAACTCTGAAGAGGCTATTGGTCGTTACTAAAACTACGAGGTGCACTGATACTAATAACTGCCAAGCAATAAGTAAAATTATACTCTAGAACTGCTACGTCACTGCTAAGATACATAACGGACTACTTAATAATATATGCGTCAACTTTTACCTATAGCTGTGATATTTTATGTCTCTAGTCCCATATCAGTGAAGATTGCAATTATAGGGATTCTTTCACGGCAAAGAAAAAAATTGATTGTTGTGAGTCCATGCATTAACGCCGTATCTCACAGGCACCAAGTACCTCACTTATTTCGAGATATTATTTTTCGTCGACATTGAATGGAAGCCTGGCAAGTAGGAGTTAAGCTTCATAGAATCGCGATTCTTTTGCGCTGAAGTTCAAACTTTCATTTACCCTGTGCCATCGTCTCCAGGTGATTCCCGACTTTGAGGCGATTTTTAATAATTGAGTGGCGTTTCAGATATTACGCCATACGTCACTTTGAGCATTGAAGGCTGAAAATCGGCATATCAAAATTTTCAGATCCACATACCTCTTTATGAACTGTAAAATTTCTTTCCGGCATCACGTAGCGGAGGTTTTTGATACATCCCATGTATGTGTCATCTCGATGGAAAGTGAAGAGGAATTAACTTCCAGCTCCACCGAAAGCGGACTAAGTACAGAAAACGTACTTGAGCACCTAAAGTTAATGCAATATGAAATAGACCTCTCTTTCGTTGGGTGGCACTCGGCCGAAGTGAAGGTTCGAAGCAATTTTACAAAGTTTGTTACTAGCAATGCATGTCCACTTTATCTACTGCTCATCTAACAGATTTCTGCAAAAGATGTGTAATGGTCTCGATGAGTTACATTTTATTGGAATTTGGTTCATCCACAGCAGCTGCACTCCGCGAAAGCTCATCCACAATTTCGTTGCCGGCTATCATCTAGATATGATCAATGACCCAGGAGAAGGTAACTCATGGCGAGCGAAAGACGGCGGAATCACCCTCTCGGGTATGGCTAATGCGAGAAGATGCTACGAGTAGACTTAGAAATGACAGAAAGCGAGTCACTGACTACAAAGAAATTAGGAAATTATATATATATATAAAGGCGATCTTGAAGCCGCCCTCGTACATCCATGACCAGAACGCGATTTGATCAACAGTATCATTTATCATTAACGCTACAGCCGCTCTCTAAATTAAAACAAAAGTGATATTCTGAATATCCCATAGATGATCGGAACAAATGCAATTACTAGAGACCACCTTACAACTGATTACTATGGAAATTCATCCTCATGATGAAGATAACTAATATATGTCGAGCTACATGGTAGTTGTTAAAGCGTGAAATTTGCTAAACATACGCATTTTAGGATTTATAAAAAATGTGAACACAACATAGAACAAATGAGTAATCCAACATATGTGTGTTTATTCATCAATGATAATTTAAACATGTTTGAAATGATGACGCTCAAAATCCAGTAACAATCCCAGCACCAGCTACAGAAATTTTTTGATCGTGTGACAGAAAATTAAATAAATAAAATTATGCACCAAGTGAAGTTCCAGCCAAAAAGCCAGCACAATCCACCTAAAAAACAAGTTATTATAGTAGTACGAGTCTGCGTTTTAGAAAGAACAAGTAATCTGCGCTCCAGGCAATATATTGCAGTAGATCAAAATAATCAAGAGAAGTCAGGCATTTCTCAATTGATTTCATAATAAAAAGGAAAAGTTTTACACTCCTCATTGTATAACGTTAAACTTTGTCAGAAAAAGACAGAAATGGTTTGCAAATTTAGACATGAAATCGCAACTACTTCAATCCCATAATTCGACACAGAAACTCATTTACTACGTTCTAATAGATAAGAAAAATGTAAAAACTAATCCTATTGTCGGCTAAATCAAGCACCAAGACTTATATTTATTGCAACGTTCCTCTCAAACAAATGGCACTCAAATTTGAACACAAAGTGAAAATTAATGGCAGACAATGCTACAAGCGACAACACAGCCTTTCCTAAGGAATGATGCTGAGGAAGCAAGCATAGCCTTATAATTTATTCAGTTTGCTGTGTCTCGCTTTAATATTATGTAGGTATAACAATCTCTTTAGGCATTATTGTACTAGTTCAAAGAATAGGAGTCTGTTGTCTACTAATGCTGGTGCACAATCGAGAACTCCAATGATGACAGTGTAACTGCATTTGTAAACCTAAAAGATGTGATCAATCAAGTTCGTTTTATGATAACCAAGAAAATTGATTTCAGAGAACTTGTATTTTGATGTTGGTCGACTAGCCTTTCAAGGCATTACACAGAGGCTGACCCAAATTCTTGGTTTGGGAATAAGCACCATAAAAGTCGGTAACTTACACATATTTAGCTGTTCTACATTTAAATAAAAATGCGATATGGGGGCGTTTTATATTTTCCTTTTTCTCGTGGCTGAGATATGGCTCTCAGAGATACCATATTACCATGGCTTTTTCTCATGGCTCTCAGAGATACCATATTGTGCAGTAATTCAAAGTAACTTCACAATATGTGGTTCGATGAAGTGAACGCCCTTCTTTACAAGAAAGATATTCTAGTTAGGCCCAGCCAAGAAAATATTGAAGAACCGAATACATGAAAAATTAGCATTACATGAGAAGCAACTATCAACCTTTAGAAATTAAAAATATTGGTCCGTATTTGTATATTAGCAGAACTAGAATGATTAATTAGCCAAGAATTAAATATCTTACCGAGCACTGGCAGTTAATTAGGAAAAACATCACGTCAGTTCCATCTACACATGGACTTACTAATCTACTCTGCTAATCCCAACATGCAAAACCCGACGACACAAAAGTTTCGACAATAAAATTACTCGGTATACGATAAACATTGTGACAGTCCTTTATGAAATGATTAAATTTGTGAGTAATTGCGTAGACTACAACGTATCAATCACAAGTAATGTAGTTAGAGGAACGAGTATAGTTGTCTTGCTAATTACGCATTTTGGAATGGATACGCTCCGTCAAGAAGTGAGTGATAGTTTCAAGACATGTAACTTCATGATGCATGCTATGGCAAGAACGTCAAAACATCTCCACACAGATTCTATTAAGTACACAGAAATACATAAATGAGCGCTAGCAGCCCACGAATCTCCGTAATTTCTGTGACCCAAAAACTTCTGTTGATGCAGGTCAACGAAAACGAGAGACCGGGCTGCGAGAATTGAATCACTATTTTGAACAGTTTGACGAAAATACTATAGGATACATCGGATAATTGTTGTCTACTGGCACTTGGATTTGCTAAGGATTTTGTGAAGAGCGTGAGGAATGTCTTGTTGCGTGCGGCTCTTTGGAGTTCCGCCCAACAGCTCGACGCACTGGCGCTTGCCGCAGCTGATCTCGTGACACGCGACCAGCAGGTCGTACGACACTGAGTCGCTCACGACGCTGTCATGCCTGAAAAACAAACATCATTCAGATATACAAGAAATTAATAGTAAAATCTAAAAAATGAGCTGAAAGGAAAATTAATTTTTACTTACGACCCTGTCATTCCTGTAACACATATACCATACAGATTTACATGAAAGCAATCCAAAAACAAGCGAAAAAAATGAAGAATAAGTTTTAGAAAAAAAAAAATAATTTTACCATCATACCATCATGGAGGCAAGGTTTATATTTTCTGTCAGTAAAGATCTCAGTTTTTGGCTTCTTCTGACCTTTAGAATCAAGCACAAACATCATTCGTTAAGCATTCTGATTGAATTATTTATAGACAAACACAAAGCGCTACAAGCATGCAAACTGTTCCATTTGAAAGTTCCTCGACAAAATGTCGCGAAAATTTCCTCAAAAATATGCGTCTGCAAGTCGCATCTGTTGAAAAATTTGATTTTTACGTATCTGATCTCTTATTCTCAGCTACAATTAAACTTTTTCAGGACTAAAAATGTATCCAATGTACATTTCAGCATCGGCGTTTCTCTTGCTAACCATTCTAAGCTAGGATACTAGAGTTTCGTATTCTACCACTAACGAGCTACAAAAATTTCTGATCAATTATCCCCAAACAGTTGAAAATAATTCCACAGAAGGTAGGACAATAAAGCAGATTACAGGTTGCAGCAAAGCAATAATAGTAGACTACTGAATTAGCCACCTGAACGCGCATATTCAAGCGAGTAGCAGCAGTCCGACATCAGCAACTTCAAGCAAATATTTTGCGAGGTCTCCACAAAAACCAGATCAAACCCCTCATTCATATTATTTTTTCAAAAACTCATAGATGAGCTATCGACCACTACAATTATTCAAGAGAGTTTTGATAATACGGCTATAGATCATTAATGCCCCAAGTGCCATTTGCCACCAGCTCCGACATACTTGTACTCAGGGTGAGAACGCACGAAGTTCCTGATCCATGCGGCTGCTGTGTTGGCTTTACCAGAGGCGCGATCGCGGATCAGGTTCAGGTACTGGCCCACCGTACACGCTGTATCCGTGTCCAGGTCAAGAGAGTTGAGGTACTTGCGAACCAGGCCAACCAGACCCACGAAAGTTCCTTCCTTTAAACGTATTGATGCATTAATAAAGTTACATCGATGATCGGTGATGATTGCATTCGTGCCAGATTAAATGCGCGATAAAAAATATCATGACTGGTGTTGGTGAAAAAAAAAAAATCTTCTACCTGCAATCACGTCTTTGATAACTATTAGATTAATGTTCCTCAAAATAAAAATTAATGCAGAATTGTTTCACTACTGGAGCGTTAATGAGAAAATTATTACTCTTTCTAGCTCAGTTAAAACGCTTCAGAATATAATAATATTGTAAAATAAATTCTATCAATCATATTATTTATATTTATCATATTATTTTCGGCAGCTGCTGGTCAATATCTGCAGACATGACAACTACGGAACCAAAACACTATTGCAGTAAGATCACGTTCTCATAGAAAAAACTTGTATTAGCAAAGTGGTTGGATCGTGATCACGATTTTAGAAAAACTTCTACATAATTGCAAAATCGAGTTTTGACAAACTCGAACTTGCCACCAGACCATCTCATTACTTGTATACGTCTTTTATAAATGATACCGATCGTGAATGTATAAGCTTGATTAATAAAATGTGTACCTTTCCGTTGATGATCTCATCGATGGTCATGAGGGTAGAGTCGTCTCCCTGGTCACAGTCCCTTGACAGGATATTCTGACGGAACCAGAAGCGCTCTGTCAGTACGGCATCTTGCCGCTGACTTTTTTCCATGTTTTCATCGACCTGCAAGAAAATAAACATTGTTTAATAAGAGTTTAAATACTGTTCACAGAATCGGCATCGACCTTAAATGATAAGTGATCAATGAAAGCTGATTTCTAATTACAATTATAGCATCATCACAAATGGCATTGAAATTTCAATGATTGAAAAAAATAACATGAAGATGCTATGCTTCATAATTTTTCAAAACAAAGTTTGTATGAATTGAAGCGAAATAAGTCAACAAGGAACACAATCAGAATAGCCACAAGTATTACTGATGCCGAATGAAGAATTTTTGGCGGGCAGTTATCGCTAATTGCCTTTGTAATTTTTCTAATAACAATTAATACCGAGTTTGCCCAAAATTTTATGTAATTAAAGAAAAAATTTCAAAGCAATAATGCGAGAGAAAAATAAATAAAGGAACTTTGTATGTAATAATATACGAGGGAAACGAATAAATCGCTGTATAATGATATACCAGAAAAAAAATTATAAATGCAAATGCAAAAATTATTCATTGGGATAATGCATTGTAATAAATAAAAAGCGGAAAACGCAAAAAAACTTGCACGGGCAGAATTCATCTCATGAAAACTTGGCAATCCAGCAGCTGTACTAACAAAACTTCTTCAAGTACGCGTAGCAACCAATTACCCGTAGCTGCTGATTTCTTGTCTGCGATTGGTGAGTTTAGCTCACCGATCACGGAGATTGGCTGACGGAGTTACAAACTCGCAACTTTTTGTGATAATACATCCTCAGGACCTACCTTAGAAAAGGGCACCAGCACGCTGGGCTTGAAGGTGACTATGGGTGAGCAAGACAAGGAAGACTCCATTTGCAGCATCATGAGGTTATATACTTAATGTGTGCTAGAGAAAACTTATGCGGTAAAAATACCTACATCTGATGGACACTTAGCCATCAACTACCTTGGACAAGGGCACCAGCATGTTGAGCTTGAAGGTGAGTATGGCTCGTGTGAGCAAGACAATGAAGACTCCATACGCTGCGTTCTCAAAGTCGGTGATCTGCACCTCGCAGGGACGGAACTCAACCCGCCATCCGATGTCAGAATTAGGGGGAGGGATCTTGAAACGCATGCTCTGCCAGTTGGTACTCTGGATATTCTGTGAAATAAAATAATCATTAGTATTGATGTTAATACTGTAATCTCAGATGCTTAACTAGTATTAGGTCAGATTACACAGATTCAAAATGAAGAGAGATTGGCATTAAAGTACAAAGTAAAAATATTTTTTAGATTGATTGGGACACAAACACTAGCATAATTGACGGTAAGGATACTTAGAAATTACTACAAAATGAAGCTGGAAACAGCTAACAAATAGACTTATTCGTCATGTTCATTGGAGAAACCGTTATTCCAAAACAATACGGCAAATGCAATGAAATTCTCATGATATACGCAAATCTGCATGCAGAATATCGCTTTATGTACAAATTAGCTAAATATTCTGTCTATCATGAAACACCATTAGTTTTTGCACTTAAAAAATATTATGTAGTATTACTAAGTTTTCATTGAATTCTTATGGGTAAAATAGTTGAACATAGTCAACCGCTTGCCATGATCAAACCACAATATTAAAAAAATCCTAATCATAGGTATACTTCGAAGGTTTTTGATTTTTGAGCGCCTAAATACTGCCACAATTGAACAAAAAACACCAAGAGGATATTTTCAACGAAGTTATTACTCACATCATATTTACTCCATCAAAAGACTCTTCATTGCGACCATAATATTAATAGAAATATAACCTCAAAATGGTCCATTTCCTTCGTGTCGTCTTGATCAACTTTCTCAGAGAAAAGAGAAATGGAGTCGCGGATGAAGAGGTGAGCGATGTGCTGGGCTAGCGGCGCGTCCACGCCAGCCTCGATGAGCTCTGAGTAGACGTCGGGGTCTTGCACCAAGGGCAGGTCGTTGTACCTTCATGAATAACAAATATTTTTAATTAACAACGATAGAATGAGTAATTCTGCAGAGTAAAAATAGCCCTTGACAGTAATCGATGCTATTCAAGTCGAGAGGCCTTGGGTCACACGGGTCTTGCACTATGGGTAGGTCGTTGTACCTTCATGAATAACAAATATTTTTAATTAACAACGATAGAATGAGTAATTATGCAGGGTAAAATAAACTTTGGCTGTTGTTTGCTATTCATGTCTACTGGCCTGAGGCCATAGTCAACAAATTAACGACGGCCTTTCAAGCTAAATACCTATATAGTAGACGAGAGGGATAGGCCGCAAGTTTTGATACTGTGATCCCAGATGACTAGTAACTATAAGTAAAGTTCAAAAATGAATGGGTTTGTAACAAGATCGACACTTCATTAGTTAACATCTGATTGTCTCGCGTTGAAGATATTGGAGAAGAGATTCAATACTGTAATGAATTTTAACTGCATCGCTCATCGTGATTACGATTAACCTCTAAGGAAACCAAGACAGACAATAGTTAAGAACATCACATTCACTGAACGGCCGTCCGTCTGAGTAGTCAAGATCGTTATGTAAGAGGGTTTCCTTAGTCCTTTGTCTTCTGACAGCAACTCTTAATATGAAGACTTCCAATACGAATTTCGTTGCAGTCGCTTATTGAATACAAAAACAGAGGGTTAAAGCATGACACGAAACAATAAGATCCACAAATCTACAAATTTTCACAAGGTCAGCAACTTACTTGGTGCCGCAGGCGCTGAGGTAGCAGGATACTGAAGAGTATCGGCTCTTAGGAATAACGAAGCGATCCGTTGAGAGAGGAACCTCGCCGCTCTCTTCGCGAGTACGGCAGTCAACTGACGCACTGATCACGTCCCACCGGCAGTCTATGGCGGTCAGGTAGCCGCGGAATATGGGTGTTGCTGCTGTCAATGCCAGCTAAAATAAGATATTGTTAAATAATTAAAAAACATGACGCAAGTGAATGTTAAATAAGAAACAGTCTATGGCGGTCAGGCAGCCGCGGAATATGGGTGTTGCTGCTGTCAATGCTAGCTGAAATAAGATATTATTAATTAAAGAACATGACCCAAGTGAATGTTAAATAAGAAACAGTCTATGGCGGTCAGGTAGACGCGGCATATGAGTGTTGCTGCTGTCAATGCCAGCTGAAATAAGATATTATTAATTAAAGAACATGACCCAAGTGAATGTTAAATAAGAAACAGTCTATAGCGGTCAGGTAGCCGCGGAATATGGGTGTTGCTGCTGTCAATGCCAGCTAAAATAAGATATTATTAATTAAAGAACTTGACGCAAGTGAATGTTAAATAAGAAACAGTCTATAGTAGCGGTCAGGTAATCCCGGAATATATGGCGTTGCTGTCATCAATGCCAGCAGAAAGGAGACGTTAGTAATGAAAAAACTTGAAAGTGAAGGTTAAAAAAGAAACAGAAAATGGTTCTGAGGTAGCAGCAAAATATGAGAGTTAAAAAATGCACAAATTTAGAAAAAATAAGAGCAGTACTCACTGCAGTGAGTGACAGCGCATTTTCTCGTCCGTCCGTGAAGTCACGGACAAACGGACGGACGGACATGAGCAAAATAGCGCTTTTTTTCCATAAATGAGAAAAAGTGCTAGGTAATAACAAAATTTAACTCTGCCGACTTTGAGAAGCAAGCATAAAATCGAGAATTTTTTTTCAGCAGTGATAAATGTGTTCACAAATATGTACCTACATGACTTACCAGTATGGGGCAAATGGGTGTGAGGTGGTCGTAGAGAACCCTAGCCTCACTCTCGGTGCGAGCTTGGAAGGTCATCTGGAGGCAGGAACAGCCCATGCCAAAGCCCATGGCGTCCATGTAGACGTGGTCAGGCTTAGCGCCCTCAGAGTGGGACTTGTCAGCATCATCCCCATAAGGAGTGAAGTCTTCAATGAATGGCGACGGAGTTTTCAAGTCTTTGAAGACTGCAGAAGAGAATAAATATAAGCAAATAGCAGCAACAGGGCATGGAACTACTACAGCATAGTACATTAAGGAAACAAAAGACCCTAGTATTCAAGGCTCATAATAAGGAAATACCTACTCAGTGAAAGGTGAATATGGCGCAGGGACGGATAAACAAACAATAAACGTCCATTGGACTTAAAATATCATGAATCTTCCAGGTTTCCTAAATTTTAGTTTTAAAACACAAATCTAGAAAATTCACTCATTCTGGACTGAGATATTATGAGTTTTTTCAACTGATTTTTTGTTGCACTTAGCACTAATGTCTCCTAGCATGTTATGGAGTTATTCACAGATACCGTAATGGCTCCATTGTAGTATGTTTGATGGTTCAATTCATTAATAACAGAAGATTTACAATCTATCATGTTCACTTTAAATAAAAACTCACTAGGCACATTGATGGCTACTTTTCTGCCCCTGCGCTGACGTATGTTTGTGGTGAGCGTGGAGAAGCGGGGATGGCACTGAGTGATTGCCGCTGATGGAAAGAAAAGTGACCGAGATGGACCACTGGTTGGGGTAGCTTTTGATGTTGGCAAGGTGAAATCCAAGCAGCCCAGCCTATAAAAATGAACAGAAAGAATTTATAAATTCAAATTTACACATGACACTTGAAAAAACACAACAAATTGATTTTCATCCAACCAAACTTGACCATTCAAACTAATTTTGTATTATGATACTAAATCACAACAATCTCTTGTAATTTCAAATTTTTTTCAACTTCAGAAAACTAAACACATCAGTCATTCAGTTCATTAACAGTTACATGCCTTTATGAAATCAGTTTGGAAAAAAATTTTAGTTACATGAAAGGAAGTGTACACAGATTGGAAAATTCAATTCAAATAACTCAGTGCCCCTAACCCATTTTATAAAATATATATATGTATGTATACCTCAAATTTAAAATGAATTTTTAAAACCCACAATGAAAAAAACTACCAACAAATAAACATATTTTGTTCCTATTCCTAAGAAATGAACCATCTTGACAGAAAAAATTAATCCAGGCTCCGGGTTGGGTTTGCTTACCGTGGGAAACATGTGATAGAGAGAGCAACCTCATCTTTTTCTAGCAAGCTGTGCAGTTCCTGCCGCCTGTAAGCCATGTTGTGTTCCACGATGTTGAAGTGCTGCACCAGCCAACCATAGGGCTGACCTGGAGTGCCTTCCACCATATACTCTGCATACTCAGGGCGCCACAGGCTTCGAACCTCCCTATTACACATTTAGGTTTTAGCACTGCTATGCTACATACCAACTCAATAATTTCATCATTTTATTCATTTCAGAGATAAAACCATTCTAGGTGGATATTTCATCAGTGCCTTCCCCTGTATACTAAGTCTTTAGATCATTGCCTAGTCCTCAATTTCCCAAATAAACCATTTAGCAACTGATTTCACTACAATATATCTTCTCAAAATAGAGCATCAAAGAACATTTTAAATACATGAATGCCGAAAGGTTGACATGGAACTGGAACAAATAATAATAGATAATAAAGTGGCAAATTGCAATTTTTTTGAAAATGCAAAGTTAATTTTAAATATGAGGGTTATTTTAATGAAAATACATAGAAATATTAGCAGATTTTAATTATAAAAGTAGATTTAGGCCATGAGTGATTTAATCTTATTACAGATTATTAAGGTATTACACACATAGTACTAGTTACACCTTCTCACCAACTCACTTAGGGTTCTTCTCCTCAGCCTCTTGCAGCTTAGTGAGAAGAGAGGAGCCACGCAAGCTCACCCGTGCCTTCCGATTTGCATGATCAAACTTCACCACAGTGTATTCAATCTGTGAGGGACCATATAATCAATGAAAATCATAGTAGCCAACAAAATTAAAAAAAAAACATTGAATAGTCCCAATAAATTTTTATGAGGAGAGAAAATGAATGAGTATTTACTCTGTTGAGCACTAAATTACCAATGTCCATTCAAAAGTACATCAGTACGAGTTACACTGAAACAAGTCACCAAAACCAATATTACAGCAAAAACAATCACTCACTCAAACTAATCTAAACTGAACTAACCTAAATCATCAATTTAACTGAACACTTTAAATTACCAGGGCCATCTAACATTCATTTAGCTTCCTCATCCAAGCCTCAACTAATGTGATTGAAGCAAGCATTTTTTCTTCTAATTTAAATATTATTAGAATAAGTTGGCACTGCATTAGCAAGTTTTTTGTGAAGGTAAACCTGTAAAAATATCAGCATAATTTCTGGCTGGGGTTCAGCATAGTGACCAAAATAAAAGGATACAGTCAAACTTGGTAATTAGGGACGGTTTTAAGCGTTTTTAGTTAATAACTTCTTGCCATGAAATATTTCACAAACAAGTTTAAGCTCATTTTAAATGTCTTTGCAAGGGCTTTCATATGGCATCTCCAAAAAAATTTCATATGATATTTGTGATAATATGATATTTGGTGCGGGTGCCAGATGCAAAATAAAAGCATCCTAAATTTCCCATGGAATGGGGTAATCTGGGACACTTGAAACTTAATTTGAAAACGTCTGAAACGTGCAGAGTGTACTAATCCATTACTAACAGTACTCTGGAGTCCTCTTCTTCCATTGTAGATGATGTAGATGTAGACAGCAGGATAAATGACATTACTGTGATTTTTACTAGGTTTTTATTCATTGATATGAAACACATGATATTACTGTATCCATGGACATGCCATTGAGCATTGATAATGACCTTGTCCACTGCAAGCTTCATATCAGCAGCCATGTATCATTTCTTCTGTATCTGTAAGCTTACAGGACAGCTTGTAATTTTGCACCATCTTAATTAATTGCACCATTAATAATTTTTTATATAATTGCACCATTTTTAATTTCCTAATTTTCTCAAGATTTAAACCAACTTCTTATGTGTGATTATGCTGGTATCCATGATACTTTACTGGTCTACTTATAGGACTCAAAAATTAACTTGAGGGAATGTCTAAAAAAACTCACTGCTTTGCCACTATGCAGTTCAGAGTACTGTTAGTAATGGCATGCTTCAAACATTTTAAAATTGGGGTTTTATTTCAAGTGTCCTGGATTACCCCATTGCCAGGGGCAAACATGGAAAACACCTACCTTTAGTCCTTTAGGGCTGCGACTAGATCTTTCCCGCCATTTCCAAAACTGCGAGATTTCCCCCAGATAAATTACCTCCTATCTAATTGTTAACAAAAGTGGACGATTGGGCCGCAAGATTACAAATGCATTGAAAATTCATGCCATTGGAGCCCCAAGATTGCAGAAACAAGTCGGTAAATTACAATCCTGCCCAGGTGTAATTTGGGACATTTTTATTTTGCATCTGTGATCTGTCACCTTACAAATAGCATATGGAATTTTTTGGAGATGCCATTCAATAGCTCCTGCAAAGAGCTTTAAAATGAGTCCAAACTTGTTTATGAAATTTTTAATGGTAAGAAGTTATTAAAAAAAACTCAAATGCATCCATTATTACTCTGTCCTACACCTACTGGCTACTAGTCTACCTAATACCTATTAGTAATAATAAAATAAATAAAAATTAAAAGTGAACTGATTCTAAAAAATCTCTGGTTTGTCACAGTATGTCACTATGAATATGATTAGCATGATACTTGAATAATGAGTCTGGTGCCTGGCTGGTGGCTGCCTGCCACTGCCTGTTAGCTGTTACTGTCTGAAAGACTGTAACAATCCACAGTGATCATTGCCTTCATTGGAGATTGAAAGTATTTGTTGTTCTTGAAAATTTTGTCTCTGATTCCACATGGCACAATTTTTTAGTTGGATAATAATCATATAGGCTAATAACTGGTCTGTGGTCATGACTATGATTTGTAGGCTTTAATCACCGCATAATAACTATAAATTTACATGGATACCACTGCAAAACTCACAAAAATTCAGTTTGTATATGAAATAAATCGTCCTCAAAGGCTCAACCTCAACTGAGAGTCAAATGGGTTGTGGTAACATTCCAACGTACGAGTATGACATAACGTAACAGACTAACAGTTGTATCTTACATAAGGTAAGCCGTAAGTGGCTTTGACATTTGAAGTTGGCAACCTGCTTGAGCTTGGCAAGTGCTGGTAGAAGGGTTAAAATCATTCAGTTCAATATGCGTGAAAGATACATTTTTTTAGGAATGTGGCACTCAATCAAGGGAGTATATATAGTAATATACTCATTAAAATTCTGGTTCTCTCAAAGCTATCAGGCATGATCAAGGCCCAGCTCTAGTTTCTCACTGAGATTTTGTATTTTTCTTGGCCTTACCTCATCTCCCCATTTTAGGCAGTGGACAGTCCTGTCTTTGAGAGTTTGGTAATGATTAAGAAATTGCTGCACGCCGTGTTTCCTAACGTGAGGAGCTAGTTTTTTTGTTTCAGGCCAGCTCAACGGCGTGCCTTCGGAAAGCAGCCCCATGCCACCAGCGGCTAGCGCGATACTGCCATTACTGCGCAGTGTTGCCAGGTTTTTTCTTGGCGAGAATACCAGATTGCCTAGCCCAAAATACCAGAAATATACCAGAAATTCTATTGTTCAAAACAGACTAATACCTCGAAATTAATGAAGCTATTAGTCAGAAACGTGGTTAGAAAAAGAAAATTATCTTATGTACTGTACTGTGCATTTATCTGGCTTGACGATAATTAGCCAAATTGAACACGTTTTATTTTTCCCTCTCATTGGAACATTTTGACACTTTTCTTTCCCTGTGTTTGATAATCTTGACACTGTTTCCGTTTTTTATCACAGTGTGGCATTTCTTCCCCTTCGCTCAATCTGAGGAAGCCACGGAAACAGGTCATCTTCCTCTTGCTTATTTTCGTACATGCTTGCATATTGCATGATCTAACATTTCGGGGAGCATCACTTGTTGCGGCTGAGCAGATAGCTTTTTGTCCGAATAAGGGACTCCAGTACCTTAGTTGAAATTTTATTTCGTTGCTTGTTTTACACATAGGTGACTTGTGAAAACATTCGCTCCACGAATTCATTGGGGACAGGTCAAAGTAGACAAGTGATGCAGTAGGCAGCCAGTTCCATGAATGGATGATGATTTTCAAGATCAGTAAAATGTTGAATATCACCCCAGAATTCAAGTGGCACTCTAGAATTCAAAACCACCAAACAAAAATGGACGTCTCGGACAAATTTACGGCCGGACCTGCGGCCGGTCTCGCGGCCACAGGACTCCAAACATCGAAAAAACCTAGCCAATCAACGAAAACCTCGCAGGTTAGGTCCAGTTAGGAACAAGTTCCATTAAAAACACAAAAATAAACCTAGAAAACCCATAAAAACACTAAGAAAACCTTTCCGGCCGCGGGTCAAGCCGTAAATGTATCCGAGACCTCAAAAATGGTGGAGCTTGCGTCACAGAGATAGGTTCGACAACCTCACTCGGTCCTAGGCTATATCATCACTGATCAGTAATCAATCAAGGATCATCACTCTCGTGCTTATATTGCAATAAGAACTTTTAGTAAATGTTAACAATTAGATCGGGGTTATTTCATCAAGCCGTAAACTTGCGGTTCCAAAAATGGCGGGAAACCTCTAGTCGCGCCGCTCTGAAGGTAATCTATATAATCAATCCCTACGCTGGAGGAAATTCAAACTTCAGAGGTGGAACTTAATGCAGTAAATTTGCAGCAAGTCAGAAAATACCAGAAAAATACCAGATTTAGGCAAATATACCAGACCTAAAATATTCATACCAGACACCTTCTGAAAATACCAGATTTGTGAAATCTGGTATAGAAATATACCATCTGGCAACGCTGTTACTGCGTAGGGATCGTTGTTTTCGTTGAAGGCAATGCCACGCACGCACAGCGTAGACAATATTTCGTGGCCGCTTCAAAACTACGTTGCCATAGCGAATAATTTTGCAATAACATCGAACAGCAACATGAAATAAATGATTCATAGGTTATGAAAAATGCAACTTAGAATGAAGTTGAAGATTTTAATACGATACAAAAAATTCTCATTGAACAGATATAGTGAAAGACTGAGTCACATAAATCAGTGACAAATATAATGATAAGATTTCATTTTACAGATTTTTCTCGGGAATATGAATTGAGCATAATTTACCAGAAGCACTGAACAATTTACGGCACCGTGAACAGCGACCGCTAACTTCTCTCGTTACAAACTGTTTTAACTTATTTTCAACATTCGTTGCAATGTATTAATATTTTAGAATTATTAAAACGATTTTTCAGCAATGCAAGCATGACCAATTTTAATGCATGCGCATAATCCGATTAGTACGTTTCGTATATGTATTTGAGAAAACTTCAGGCTTATTAAAATGAAATATAATTAAAGAATGTGAATAGAGCTTCAATGTTAGGAAATCGAACGAATAGTAGGATTTGTTTCAACGAGAGAACGTCTACGCCGGGAGACACAACTCGCTTGTATTGAGGGCGGCCCAGCGGTTACAGTTCGGATGCCTTCAGCACAGAGCCAATGGGATACAGTTTGGATGCCTTGCTTGGTTACAGTACTAAGATTGGAGCAGTGATTTGCGGGTTTGATTCCAGCACCCTGAGACAGTTCTAGCCAAAATCGAACAGGTAGCAAGGCGGTTGAGCACAAGAATGGATCTGTGAGTTGCGTATTTGAAACCCGCAACAAGCTGTGAAAATTCTGCAATGTTCAGAATCGGTGTCAGGCCTGATGGTCTAATCTTCGACACTGACACCACTATTCTAATGATACTAGATCGATGGACGATGGTTAATTTTCAAATCGGCAGTTTTATAAAAAGAGTCTCATAACAAAATTGACGGATAAATAGACAGAAATATTGTTGACTCGGTTTTCACAAAAAAACACATTCACTTTGTCTAGAAGGTAGCTTTTTCATACACATCGTTGCCAAGACCAGTTCCAGCGGCGTCAAATACCCAGGGGTATTTGCGAGGACATTGAGAGCACGTCACCATGTACCTGAAATAAATCATGGAATATGTTTAAGTATCCATTACCGGTATACATTCTTAAAATCTCGCATTTAATTAAAACATAATAAACCAGAAATTAGGGCAATGCCTGTGATTAAATACATAGATAAACATCTTCCGTATGTGGATTGTACTAACTTTTTTATTACTTTTAGAAATAAAAAATTAAAAGACGTAACTTTTCCTTAATGCGTTTCTTTATTTATGAGTATGAGTACCAGGTAATAGACAATAAACACACGCAACAGGAGAGGTAAGCTCATATATCAAACGACCTAACCTTGTCCCGCCAGCGATCCCATAAGGTTCCGAAAAACGGCCTTCGAGAGCCAGAGGACAAGATCGCGGTGTCTTGCAAGGAGACTTGGGCAGCTGCCGTAGCTTGCAGTCCCAGGGTTCATAGTTCTGCATCTGAGATAGCGGCACAGGAGCACTGATCCACTGCAGTGCCTCCGTAACGGTCGTGTAATGCACGTCAGGACTGCACAACAAACTCAAGTTACTTTCTTTGATAAAAAGCGAGAATATAAATGTGAAATCCCTCTACAAGGGTTTAAATTGCTGAGTGACAACAAAGTGTAACATAAGAGGTGACATTGCAAAAATGTTCACAACGATGCTCAGATTAGAATAAACCCCCAACTACATGGGTTATAGGCATGGTTGAATTAATAATCGTGGGTTATACGTTTGTTTCTCTCTCCTCCATTAGTCATGCACTTACGTTTGAGAGATACGTAATCAGAAGTCATGTTCATCTTGTAAAAGGCATGTAAAAGGCATGTAAAAGGTTTTATGTCAATTTTAAACCGTGCACATCATCAAGTAAGAAGTTGACTAAGAACATATCGGGGCTTATGAAAAGGTTTAAATGATATCTATATCGATGATCACAAGGCAGCTTTTCGTGAATAAAAATTGCAGGAACAGATTTAATCGTTATAATTTCATTATAGACGAGTGGCATGAAATGCAAAAACTATTTCGAAAAAGATGATGAGGGATAATATGCAAGTGAATGGTAAGTAGCCTAGTGTTAGAGATGACCATGTCTGGAGCAATGTTTTGTGGGTTCGAAATCCAGTTTGCTGTGTATATTCTGCATTGTCCGGAATCGGTGACAGAATTTTATTATTATTAGTATCATGATATTAAATTGTCTAAGATCAAATTCCATGAGGAACGATACTGAATGCGCATGACAAATACTGAATTCGTAAATGGTCATACTACATCTTACAGTTACGAAATACATTCACGTCAGGTTATACTTTCGACTCACAGTTCATAATTTTACTCACAGTGACAGCGTATAGTCAATGAAGCGCAGCAGAGCTTTGTGCAGTTCTTTGGTAGCAAACCAGTTGGCAGTCAATGTTAACTGGTAAGGAGCCCTGAGGTAGTAAATGAGATCCAGAACATAGAGTAAATTGAAGAATAATATTGCGATAAAATCAACAAATCTAAGCAAAAATTACCTCAAGAAAACTATTGAGATTTCTTAGAACAAACGTAAAATATCTGGAGAAACCAAAAAAAAAAAAAATAACTGAGCATTTTTTGGAACTTAAAATGAAACTTCAAATTTACATCCACTACATATGCATGCAATACAATGTTTTTTTCCCCATTACTTCACAGAAGCAGCAATAATGAATGACTGGCACATTCTAGACAATCAACTAATCAAGTCAAACTAATGGTTATTTTAATATATCATTATTTCGGGGCAGGGTGGCCCAGTAATTCAGTTTATATTGTGTACCAAGATGAGAGCGATGAGTTGTGTGTTCAATCCCAGCTCCCTGCGACAGTTCTGGTCAAAATCGTAGAGATGGGCGGGTGGTTAAGCAGAGCAAAATTAGAACAGCGACATACATGTTCGAGACCCGCAAGATGCTGTGAAAATTCTGCTATATTTAGAATCGGCGGCAGGTCTGATGGCCTAATTAACGATGAAACCGCCATTATATTACTATTATTTTAAACACTTGCCTGTTGGTATCGTAGTGGTGATGGAAGTCATATTTGAGCCACTCGACAACCTCGTCCTCGGAGTGGTAGAGCAGAGCGCACTGGTCGAGGTAGGGACAGAAGCCTCCTTCCAGGGACTGCCCATAGTGGGAGTTCATAGGAAGCTCCCACACTCCTGCAGAGGAATAGAGGGTATAGTGGTGAGCGGTAGTGAGGGCGGCGTTTAGCGGGATCGAGGGTGGCGTGTTGCGGAATTGAAGGTAGCGTCTACGGGGTTGAGGTGGAGTGTAGCGTAATTGAGAGTGGCGTACGTATAGCGGGATTGAACCTGTAGTCAGTAGTGGAATTGAGGGTGGCGAATAGGGGAATTGAGGGTGACGTATAGGGAAATTGAGGGTGGCGGTGTGGAGGATTGAGGGTGGCGTGAAGGCGGATTGAAACTTGAAAAGTGCACTGCTGGAAGAAAACCAGTTAGCCGTGATAATATGAATTACGTCAAAAAGTTGCAATTCATTAAGTTATCAATATTGAGTCTGAGTTCAAATGACAAAATGCACCGTGCATTTTATACCTGTCTTAATACTCTAAACCTTCATACCTTGTACCTAAGTGAGTGACAATATAAACTACCTAAAAATTTTAAGTAAAACATATTATCTTTTTATTATTATAATAATAATTATTATATTATTTTTATTATTTATTATTATATAATAAATATTACCACTTTATTAATATATAAATAAATTCTCACTGTATTAAGCGAGAAATAATAAGTTTAGAAGGTAGCATCGCACCAGGGAAGGAGTGTGTGGGACAAGTGCCAGCCTTGCACTCGTGGTTGACAGCGAAGTCTAGAGTGTACGGCCACACGGGCATGGCGCCGGGGGTGGCAGTGAGGGACGAGTCCCATACGAAGCCGTAGTCCAGGAGCACCTGTGTCAACAATACAAATTAAGACGAGGGGCTGAATTAAAGTTACTACAAATTAAGACGAGGGGCGGGTGAATTAAATAAAGAAAATTGTGAAGCGACCGTACTCAAATCACTCAGTTCAATAATCCGACTTTCTTAGAATGTAGACCGAATTCTACGTTGTAACTTAATCTTGTATGCCGAATTGCCGATTATTCCACTGAAGAATTTTGCCCAGCTTGCATTTTGTTTCAATTCCTTCCTAAACCATGTAGTCTCAGTCTCGCCAGCTAGCTTCAGAACCTGCACTACACCATTAAAGTGACTACAAATTAAGACGAGGGGGCGACTGAATTAAAGTGACTACAAGTAAAGGCGAGGGGCGGCTGAATTAAAGTGACGTGGAGAAGAACGTGTTAATGTATATAGAATTCTAATACAAAGAGCATGCATATTTTTCTCGGGGGGAGGAGGGAAGGTTTCAATTTATTGTGTAGGGTTTCTCGAGTGATCGGAGAATTATTACCCACTGGATCATTTCCCTTTCTTTCCTACTGTAAATTTAGGCGATAAACAATTACCTCGCACAGCGTGTTTACTCTCATTTCCCATTGTAAATAATGGCATTAAACAATTACCTCGTACCGCGTGTTTACTCTTATTTCCCACTGTAAATTATGGTAGCGAACAATTAATAAATTGTTTACTTATAGAGAAGCAGTGAGGGGATGTAGAAGCATGGGGGGATGCAGCGTGTTTACTATTATTTTCCATTGTAAATTAAGGCAGTAAACAATTACCTCGTACTGCGCATTTACTCTTATTTCCCACTGTAAATTTAGGCAGTAAACAATTACCTCGTCCAGCGTGTTCAATATTATTTCTCACTGTAAATTAAGGCAGTAAAAAATTACCTCGTCCAGCGTGTTCAATATTATTTCTCACTGTAAATTAAGGCAGTAAAAAATTACCTCGTCAAGCGTGTTCAATATTATTCCTCACTGTAAATTAAAACAGTAAACAATTACCTCGTACTGCGTGTTGCGGCCAGGCTTGAGGTGGGGTGCCCGCATGCCGATCACTTCGCTTGGGTCAACGCTCGCCCAGTGCTTGAGGATCTGTCGCATGGACACCATCTCCCCCACCCAGTCATCGACAGTGGCGTCCTCTAGACCTGCTCGGCGGCTGAAAGTGCACGACGATCAAAAAATATTGACATAAATTATTCATGCGTTAGAGCTATTTAACAGAGTATGAAAGTGAACGATTTTCATGTAGAATCTGTATTTATTAATACTACAAAAGTAATTATAGGTATTAACCTGCAAAAAGTTGTACAAAAATACTCGAATAGCAAGAATGTAATGTAACCTACACCATTCGGGTTATTCATATGGCATTTCGGTTTATACTATAATTTGATTAGCTTCGTACGCATGCGTCAAAAGTTTACATTCTTCATAAATCTAATTGATGCTTATAATAACTCACGTAACGCTGCCAGATGCCATCTCATGACCTTTGCTGTAGAAATCTTCGACCAATGAGTAGTCCGTATACTCATGACTCATGAAGAACGTGCCGCGAATTGGGCAACCGTTTGGGTTGGTGCGGTTCTCGAGGAAAATTGAGTTGTACGTCTTGAAGTTCAACGAGTTGACGCCCCCGTCGAAAGTGATGAGTATGATTTGCGGGACCTTGGGGAATTAATATGAATGGGGAATAAATGAATGAATATTAATTAATATGAATATAAATTAATGGGGAATAAATGAGCATCTTGAGGGGGGTTAATAAGGCTTGACTAATAAGGAATAAATGAGAATCATTTATGAGACCTTGGAGAAAGTAATATGGCTTAACTAACATGAAAAAATAGCATAATTTTCACAGGCGGATCTTAAGGTAAGGCCACGGGCAGGCATTGAGCTAAATATGGATTAAATAACAAGTTAAAAAGGTATTATTCACGTGAATTCGACGTCAGGAGCCAATATATCGAATTGAACAATTTGGATAGAAGCTTTCATAGTTTAACATTTTTAGAGCAAATTTAGAGTTACTTAATTACAATTAAAAAAATATAACTCAGTACTCACTGCAGTGAGTGACAGAGAGCGCATTTTCTCGTCGACGAAAACGTGAAGTCACAGACTGACAGACAGACAGACAGACGGACGTGGCGAGCACAATAGTGCATTTTTTCCATAAACGAAAAAATGCGCTAAAAATAATCACCCACATCTTCACATGTTTCCGACGCACCTGTTCGCGAGTGAGGTTACCAGGGATCGCCATGCTGTCGGGTGAACAGAAGCACTCAGGGAGCTTGCATTTCGTGACGTCACATTCACCCGCCGTGTGAGGGTCCTCAATAATTACGGGTGCCTCCGCTGGGGGAAAAATGAAACGTACTACCAATTATTTCGGGGGACTATGTGTACTGTTAATTGACGCGAGAGAAGAAATTCAACGTACTATGAATTATTTCGGGGGACTATGTGTACTTTTAATTAACGCGGGAGAAGAAATTAAACGTACTATCAATTGTTGCGGGGGACTATGCGTACTTTTAATTGATGCGGGGGAAAAGAAAAAGTTCTTCTTCAATTGACGCGGGGAAACAAAATTTGAAAAATTGAAAAAAAGTATATTTTTAATAATTTAAATTAAACGTACTCGTAATTGCTACGATCGCTGTTATTACGGCTCTACCAAAACTACAACCAATCACGCGCTCATAAAAATGATAAAAAAAACTTTCCGAATAGCGATGCACTTTATGTTATTTTGTTCGTCATTCTGATCTAGTTTAGTCCGGCAAAAGGGCATATCATTGCTACGTTTTTGAAGAAATGGACCCATTCATTTTTTTTCTGCACATGATGAGTAAGATATGAATTCGACACTGCCTGCAGTAGATAAGTTATTCGTTTATGTAACGTATAGCATTTACAGTCAATGCTGATATACATGATGCAACTTCCTGGTACAGACAAAAGAACTTGTCTATACCAATTAATAGGTGTGATGAAAACAAAGACTACAATAAAGTTTCTAACTTTCGACTAAAGATGTACAGGGTTATTCTAAATGGCGGATCCAATTTAATAAATTCGTATTTAGTTATGTAAAAATTTAAACGAAAATTTTGTGCACCTATGAAAAGAAAAAGATTAAATTTTTTAACGTATTTAAACGCGGAATTGTGCGGTAGCGGTTGTTGCAGATTTACAGCGTTGAGCGTTGGCTCAACGGTTCAACGGTTGGTTGAATAAGACACGTACGAAATGAAGATCTGGCTCTACACTTCTGGCCACCGAGATCACCTGATCTCGTGTGACTATTTCTTATGGGGTTACGTCAAGGAAGCTGTTTACGTCCCGCCTCTACCAGCAACTCTGTTTACGTCACGCCTCTACCAGCAACTCTGTTTACGTCCCGCCTCTACCAGTAATTCTGTTTACATCCCGCCTCTACCACGTCCCGCCTCTACCAGCAACTCAGTTCAAGTCCCACCTCTACCTGCAACTCTATTTACGTCCCGCCTCTACCAGCAACTCTGTTTACTTCCCGCCTCTACCAGCAACTCTGTTTACGTCCCGCCTCTATCAGCAACTCTGTTTACATCCCGCCTCTACCAGCAACTCTGTTTACGTCCCAACTCTACCAGCAACTCTGTTTACGTTCCGCCTCTACCAGCAACTCTGGTAGACCTGAAGAACCACATCACTGCTACGACGCACTCAGCAACAGAAGATATGCTTTCTCGTGTCCCGCACCGACCAATACCGTTGCATCATATCTCTCAGCTGTTACATTGATTGCGTCAGTCACCTTCAGTGACATCATACTAGCGTCGATTGGACAATCGTGTGTTGGATGAGTTTGGCTACCGTTTAGATGTTTGCCGTGCAGCACAATGGGGACATATTGAACATTTATAAACATGTAAAAAAGTTGAATCTTTCTCTTTTCATTGGTGTACAAATTTTTCATTTCGAATTTTTACCCATGAATAAATACTAATTTATCAAATTGGGTCAATCATTCAGAATAACCACGTATAATTGACTAAGAAACATTTACCAACGTGACACCAGCAGGAATTTTTTCTAATTAAAATATACAATAGAAATTGCTTCACGGATTTAATCAATAACAGTAAATACGCATAAGATACGTATATTCCTCTTCTCGTGTAAATATGTACAGCAAGTCCAAATAATATAAATAAAATGCGATATAAAACACACGAAGTGCAAATTATTACGGGTTTAGATGTAATAGAGAAGTCATAACATAAATCCAATTTTTACATCACTTCTACTTTCATTACTATTTTGAACTTTGCTCTGACAATAATACTTACTTGCCGGTTGAGGTCCACAAAAGACCTTCAAGTGTCGGTCAACGCAAAGTTTTTTGTAGGTGTCGAATAATGACCCAGAAGGGCAAAACTTCAAGAAGGCGATGCTGTTGTCACACTGCCCAATAAATAGCTATTGACGGAGTATCTAATAAATTTTTCTAATTTTCTCGAAGTTAATAATGTTGTGTTTCGCTTTACAATCTGTATTCTTACCAAATAATAAAGCGTTGTTAAATTAAAAAGTTCATATGCATGTATTCAAAACTGCACGAAATTTTCTTCCTCTTCAATCAAGATATACAAATCGAAATTAATAGTGAATGAATAGTTTTTATACCTGATAGAAGCGTACGCAGGCCTCAGGGTTAGGGTCCGGGAAGAGACCGTTGGGAAGCGGGCAGACGAAGTCATCTTGCGCTCCACACCCTGAACCATTAATATAATTAGTGGCTATGCTTCCGTCCGTATTGATCTTTTCCATTTACCATGGAAAATGGATGATAAAAATGAATACTGTTATTTATGAAAATAGTGCTTTTCATAAGAAATAGTGTTATTCATGAAAATGAATGGCGTTTTTCATGAAACTGAATAAAAGGTGCTCGGGTCTTCTTCCGCCCTTTACGAACTAAAGAATATTAACGGTTAATAATAATAATATTACCTATTGTGTTATCACGTATTGTAGAAGAGAGCTTTTCAAAACGCTTTGAATCCAGATGCTGAACACGTCCTCGAACATTGTGTGATTTTTACTGTGTAATTCCTGTTGGCAAGCAAGTCTTTTCATCGAGTTTGTGGGTAAGTGACCGATAAGAAGAATTCTGTCTTTACACGGTTAGGTTGCAATAAGTTACAAGAAAAAAATATTAGAATTTGAGGCTGCAATTGGACTATATCTATTAAGTCTACCTATTGTTGTTGATTCTCACTAGTTACAACTCCAACGCAATATCATTTAAAATCAAGATCTTCCAAGGAATGAAAACCTATGCATCAGCAAATTAATCTTGTTTGACCCACGTAACAAATGAAGGGAACACACTCTCCGTTATTCCAAACTGACCGGAAAATGACAATGCTTAGCCTACGCTTATTTCTTCCAGGAAGTAGCAAGCAGTCTTCGAACAGTCAGTCGTATACGAAAGAATCGATGTCAGTAACTGAACAAAAACTTTCAATTACGCATTATATTTACAGGAAGTAGTCTACATTTTATTGCAATCGTAACTCGTAGGTAGCTTGACCGATACACAGCATAGAGCAGGCAGCGAACATGGAGCTGCCATACGGTCCACTCAAAGGTCAACTGGTCAACGCAACGCTCTCACTCTCAAGACCTAAATAAGATCGGGATTTTCACTCACTGATAACCCACTCAGCCCATTTGAACAGAATACAGATCAGTGACGACATTTGAGAGCTTTAATTTTGAGGGTGTTAAGGTAAAGCTGAGAGTGCAGGAGTTACAAAGTGCTAACCACAGTGTCAAAAACGTAAAAAATCGTACTGCGTTCAAACTGAAATGCTGAGCTTTGTTGCGTTATGGCTCAGCTAATAATAATAATTTAAGAAATGTTGATAATAGTGGTTTTAAGAATTCAAGAACACGAACTTCGAATAACTTTGTAATTATGATAATTATAGAACGTACCAAGTATCAAAGAAAAAAGAATGAACTGCAACACGCAGAGCACTGCCCCGGCGCAACTTAACTCCATGACTGCTGCCGACGTTGTGAGAATGTGAGCTACTGGAGGTGGAGTAACTGGACTACTGAGTTGGTGAGTTTGGACACTGGTCCGCCTCCGTGCGGTGCTGTCGAGATTCGAGTGAACTAGGCTGCTTGGATCAAATGTCAGTGGATGATCGCGAGTTACGTAGCGATCACCGGGTACGCAGCCGTGCACCACCAAATTTGTGCACTAATCAGCCTTGAAAGGAACGCCTAGTATATTTCCGGATGACCACCAATCAGCCGCGGATTAAGCCACCCGTAGGTAAGCCCGTACGTCTCGGACAAAATTACGGCCGAGACTCCAAAATCGGTGAGCATAGATTAAATATTAGGAGCTTCACGCAACCACATTCTGAAGCGAATAGCCCAGAGAGTAATGGTTGTCCACCACTAAACGTTGCATCGAATCATCACTTCATACCCTGACTTTAGCTAAACTGTAACTTGCGGACAACGGACTGCGACCAAACAGCCCAGCTCGCCAGTGTAACTATCTGCATCCTGCCGTGCACCACCAGACGGCCACTTTTAGCTCACAACATCCGGAGTTAGGTTTCAGAAAGCATGGTTATGTTCAAAAATCTATCCTCCTTCGACGAGCGACTTCCGCAGCTTCGCTAAATTACGAAACTTTTAGCTCACAGCATCGGGTGGATAGCTAGAGGTCAGCATAGCCCAAGTCCACAGTGCGATTCATATACCTTCCCGAGCGTAACGCAGCCGGTCATCTTGACGGCTTTTGACACAAAGCGCCCACCACAACAGCGCCATTCAGTCACAGGCCGGAGCGCATATAGGCCGGAGCGCAACAGGCCCTACCGCAACAGCTACTCCTCCTAACGTAACCTAACCTAACCTGCGCCGCCTGTTGCGGTAGGGCCTGTTGCGCTCCGGTCGGTTGGGCTCCGGCGCTGTGAAGCAGTGGCTGTGTTGTGCAAAGCGGATTTACTGTTAGCCGGAGTTACCCACAGATCATTGATCTGAGGCTATGTGTAGATATTGCATGCTGATGGTTGGCGTTAGGTCCAGGGCCTGTTTACGAGTCAATTTTATTACGTACGGCTGCGCTTCCACAGCATCTGGGGTTAGGTTTCAGATAGCATAGTTCTGTTCCAAAATTTATCGTCGTGCGACGCGTGGCCGTTCGACCATAGGCTAATTCGACACACGGGATAGATACGGACGGCTCCGGCGCTCTCCGTCCGGGTGGTGTAAAAATTTTGCGCGTATTGGCGGACGATGCTGGGCCATTCTACATCAGGCTATTTTCCTGTGTGCTGATTGATCTAATTCAATGGATGTGATCTGTCTGCCGGCTTGCGGCTGATAATTTTACAGTCAAAAAGTGTTAAGTCCCGTTTACACTAGGGGCAACGACATGGGCGGTGAGGCTCTTGCTGCAGCGCCTCACCGCCCCCAACCGTTCACACTTAATTTTGTACACGATAGCTCAAGACAGCGCGCTTTGAAGATTAGATGCCAGTTAATAAGACGTTAGTGGAGATGGATATAACCGAATTTGAGCTCCAGGCCATTGTACTTGGGTGTGTTGCTGTTAAGATTCACACAAACACGATTTATACAATTACATAAAAAATTACCAGTTGCGAATGCATCAGACTTTCAAAATTATACTAGACTGCCAGTGGACTTGTTTGACAGTCTGCTAAAGAAAATAATGCCACTCATCCAGAAGCAGGATGAATGAATTGAGATGAGTTGCAATGAAATTCGCTAATCACGAAGGAATTGTGAACGCAACGTATAGATTTTCTTGCGAACCTCGTCAATGAAGACTTGTACACAAAAGTATTTTAAAACTTCAACTATTTTCATCAGAGCTTGTTCTTTTGTATTTCGACTTCTATACTCCTTTGACTGAAATCTCTACAGGCAATCATGGTCTCTATAAATATCAATTAGCTACTCCACTAGAGAGTGAGTCTAAACAAAGTGTGGCGTTAGTTGCCATAGTGAAGGACCAGCGTATACAAGCAACCTCGCTAGACCACAGACAGCCGTCTACTGAGTGCGGCAGCGGCGCTTGTGTTGCATGAGGCAGGGCGACTGTGAATCGCTATAGCTCGTCAATCGCTTCGTTGCCCACAAGAAGCGCGGGTCTCAGAGGGGCGGTGAGGCGCTTGACGCCCGTGTGTTGCCCCTAATGTGAACGGGCCATTAAGAGGCTACGTTCTTGAGGGAAGGGATCATGATAGTCCATTCGATGTACGTCAGTGGTGGTCTCCGACAGGCGTACCATGCAAAAACTTATTCGCTATGTTTGACGTGAAACATTGATTATTTGTGCTCACTTACAAAATCGGAACAGGCAACAAAATAAATTTCCTGAATGTCAATGTTGAAGACTGGAATATCGGAACAAAACTGACCGAAATCGGACAGTTTTCCTAAAATCGCGGGTAAGAACGGTCATTTGACACGCGATTTTTAAAAATCACGGGTGAAATAGGACGTTTTTTTTATTTTTTATTTTCGAAAGTTGGAAGAGTGGACTTTAGTATACCAGAAGTCCACCAACAACGACATTATTTCAACGCACGAACTGAATGCCTCCAATGATAGACAGCACCATCACGGCAATAATCTATCGCAGTCATAAAATATCGTCCATTTGTCAGTTATTTCAAGACAGAATCTTTAAACTCGAAAATTTTTTTATTAAAAACGGTTAGTTTTATTCACTCATCGACAATATTCATTTTTTATGCCGAGCCACTACTCTAAAAATTCAGCAAAAAAAATAACAATCAAGAGACCTGCCAGCGTGATGCAAGAAATCCCGAACTACCGCAAGTCCATCACGTTTACTCTCAAAATCCATTTACCTTTGCATACAAAACTAAGGCACGAATCCTGGAGCAAAATTAGCAAATAATCAGAGACTACGTCAGAGGAACAACATTAGACCACCCGTTTATCAGTATTCTTCAACAAAAATGCTCTACCGCAATAAGCACAATCAAAAAGTGACAAGGAACAACACAGATCCAGGAGTACCAAACCTGAAGCAAACAAATGTAAACAACTACATCTGCAAGCATGGGAAGTGCAAGCCCCGCAATCGTTCGTATATTGGCATGACTACAACGGCCATATTAATTAAGACGGCTAACAATGCATCTATTTTCTGGAGGACCAAAAACGCGTACCATGGACAACCACAGTACCAAATTAACCAGACAAGAACTTGAACAGAATACAAAATACATGAATGCATACTTAACAAACTACAAATATTGGAGGCAATTCTAATTCAGAGTAAAAAAATCCACGCCTAAACAACCAATCAACTGGATCTCAACGCACTTGGACACTTCACAATTGGAACGACTGAACAGTGGACTGTACAGGAGCCGTAATCATGCTTCATTCACCACTTCAATTCAGTCTCATACCAGCAGCCACTCTGGAAGCATCCCGTTCAATCAGCGATTAGAGTTTTTATCCTGAACATGCTGCGTGATAAGTGAAACGCTGCAAACTCAACGCTGTGTTTCACAAAGCTTCCATTTCCACTGATCACAGATCGATTAGAGGCCCGGGTCTACATCTATGATCTATTAGGATCACGGTAGAGGATCTGTTGGGATCAAACCAAGCTAGATTCTTGCGAAACCAGAAGGCGTTCCAGGAATTCGCTTCAGTACATTCATCGAATAATCAATTTGTTACCGTTCTAATGAAATTAAAAAGTATATTTTACTCTGATATAGATAGCGTTTTCCGAGAAGGAATCACTAGTGTCCTTAATTTCATATTTATTCGCGGGACTCCTCAGCTGTTCCCTGTTACCATTACGCTGATGCTTGGTGCAAATTCCTGCCTGTATTTCTCCGACCTTCATTGGACATCGCATCGGTTTTCATCTTTCGAAACCTCTCGTGCAGATAACGTGCCTAATGCTACCTTCCTGTCCGATGTTGCGGTTTTCGAGCTTAGAACCTCGGGCATGAATAACGTGTGTAAGATGCATCAGTTGAGCTCTGCTAGGAGTAGTCTAATCAACAGAACGGTACTCGAGCGAAGACTTCGTACCGACGGCAGCTGATCCTAAGTACGCAGGTTGGCTGAGAGTAACCTATGTGCGTAGAGTGCCTACTCTACCCAATTTAAATGCTCATTGTTCGAACATTTCGCCGCCGAGGTAGAATTTAGAGCAGAGCCAGTTTCCATCCTGCTTTTTGTATATTTTGGGCCGATTGGCACCATTCTGTGTGGTATTCTGCTGCACTGTCTTTGCGAATGCTAGGCGGAGGATTAGGCATTTCATAGTTACCCACGTCAACGTTGGTATAATGAACTTAAATGAAGGTTCGTGGGAACGCACTCCTTCGCTCCACGTTCGACCCCGTGAGACACTTGAAGTGGGCAGAATAGAATAGAATAGAAGTGTCGGCGTTGAAGAAATAGGCCCATGGCCTGTTGCCGATTCTTGAACTTTTCGTGACTTCATTCACAAGGGATCCGGTCTTTGGAACCCGATCTTTCCATAACTGACGATTGATTGAGATAGCTGCTGGACTTATTGCCTGCTCCGTAATTTGCTAGGCATTTTAAAAAGTTCTCGGTAATCTTAAGCAGTTACGACGCCAGACTACTTTTCATTTAAGTAGTGTGGTTTTCAGGCTTTGGAACACGGCATGAATAACTTTGAAAAGTTTCTCCAGTTGAGCTTTGCCCGTTTCAGTCTGTCCACATGAGTGGATCTCAAACGATGGCTGCAGTCAAACAAATCTTGTAGCGATTCCTGCACCAATTTTTGTTTTGTCAATGGCTTGGCGCTGCACTAGTGTGCTAAGCACGCAAGTTTGCAGAGTAGGAACTGGTGAGCGTTTAGGTTTCTCACTTCTTCCATATAATTCTGCGGTCCCATTGCTTGAAATTTTCGCAGTCCTGGTAGACTTCTAGGCCCAGTTTATTTTCCGACTTCTTTTATCTTCCGATATCTTTTGTCCGATTGACAACATTCTGCAAGAC